TTGTTCATTGGGATGCAGCTATCATTATCCATTCATTTTCTGTTGTTTGCTACTCTGTGGAGTACAATTGGGAATTGAAGCAATTGTAGAAGTGGAGACTAAGAGTGGCTCTTTGTAAAGAAATTGAACCAATTTGTTACTTTTCCAAAATAAAATGTAGATGATCTAAAAACAATGATCCCAAAAATGCAAAAGAAAGGACAAATCTGAAAAACATACTAGTAATAAAATAACTAAAAAGATCCCAGATGTTCAGTGAAAAGCGCAAAGTAAATCATAGATGAAGAGAAAATAAAATAAGTGTTTTAAGGGACTATACTAACATAAAGATAACGCCTTGTTGATATAGTGTATGGTCAGTAAAAGATAAAGCTAGTTTAAATAGATTTAGCTTTTTTCCACAAACTATAAAACATCATTTTGAAAGAGATTTCAATAGTATACAGACAGTGATTGCCTTTGAGCAATGTAGTGCAAAATATGACAGTTACTATTTGTTTTGATTACTATATCTAGTATATAAGCTATTATTATGTACTCTATTTGAAGAAACAAATAAGTAGTCTTTCATTTTCAACATTTAATGATGACAGCTTCGTATATGCATTTCTATTGCATTTGGCCATTCAAACCCCTATAAGACCTGGTAGCAGGGAAGATAAAGGGTACTTTTGACTGCTCACATGATCTAATTAACTGGTCATTTGTACTTTTCATCTTCCCTTGTAGCAAGGATTTAGGTTTTCGAGGAAATTAGTAATTCTATTTCATATCATGTGGCCATGAATAATCCAATGAGCATCCATAATACAAAGAGTAATTGAGGGCATATAATTTGAATATGCATGGACGTGTCGCAAAAAGGTGGCGCATTTGTTTTTTAAGGGTATCGCGTGAATGTAACTTTGATTCCCCGGATTATAAGATAATGTTCTAATTAAAGTTATATATCATTTTAAAGCTGTTTCGATGAAGATTTTAGATCAACTACACTCCGTTCACATTTTTTTGCGCGTTCGGTTTTAAAAAATAGTTTTTTACCAAAACATCTGGCAAATATCCCATGTTGACACGTTACATTTTGAATTATTTTTCGTCTTTAAACGCTCATAACTCAAACAATATATTACTATTATACTTATTTTTCGTCTTGATAAAGGTAGATGGAAGTTTTATTTCAAAGGATGAATTTTAGTAAGCGTCCCATATTGACGGACGAAAGGTTTTCAAAATTCATTAAAATAGGGCTAATTTACGCCATTCGCCTATTTTCAAGCACAGCAACACGTATATTTATTTCACCTAAAATATCAATTGATTCGTGTTTTATGATGCTCCTAGCCCATTAACAATATATATATGATATCAGGGTTATTCGTCTAAAATGTTTTGAGATATAGAGGTAAATGTGGAGGACGAAAGGATTTTCATGTGTGTACATTTTTCTCAAAAACGTCACATTCTATCATGTTAAAAGCGAGGATCCTCTGGATTACGCCACAAAATGTGTAACAATGCGTGCGCGAGCTTTTTGTGACACGTCATGGGATTACACATACTGTATCATTTTATTTCTTTGATCTACTTGTAATAGTTCTAAAACTAAAACATGAAAGGCCAGGCATGCTAACTGGTATGGTATTGTGTTACAAAACATTATTTAATTCTAGATACAATAACATGCATATTGGCATACTTCGTTTTAATATAAGATTGTTATAACTCCAAGTTTTGCAAGTCACATGACCAATTCTTAGAGAGTTGATTGGTTGAAACAGTTGATATCAGATATGACAATTTGAAATTAGAAATAAGCTGTTTGTCTGGAGATGGTACAATTTCACACTGAATTCTAGCTTAATGAGAGGGAATTGAGATGGGGCATCATGTATCTGAGATGAAAGCCTGTGTTTCAAATAGTAAAATTCCATGTCTATCTCAATTTTTTGGAAAATGGTAGTTAGTACAAAGTTATTCTCACGCGACGATATATAGGCCATCAGCTTCACCCCAAAATTTAGGTTATCGGTATCAAATCAGGGGAATAATCGCCATAGTGATTTTTGGGAAGGTTAAGACCTCTAGAGTAAGAAAATATGTGATAGCATTGCAACAGTTGTAGCTAAGTGGGTGTTATCACCCATTTTTCAAAATGGCCGCCGGTGCACGTGTTACAATATAAGTGTGGGTATATCTAAGCATACTGAGATGCAGGAACTGTGATTTTAGGGTCTATGGTAGGGGTTTAGGGGTCAAGGATTTCATTTATGTCTAAATCTAAATCATCAAGCAATTGCTTTTTATAGAAATCCAAGATGGCCACCAAATTGGGTGCCAAAACGAATACCGGTATGTAACCATTGATTTAAGCTCGAAGAACAGTTAAGAACAGTGATTTTGGAGATCATGTCACAGTTCTAGAGTCAAGGATTTCATTGATGTCTAAATCGGAGTTATCAAATAATTACCTTTTCATAAAAATACAAGATGGCCACCAAAATGGGTGCCAAAACGAATATGTAACTATTGATTTAAGCTCAAAGAATAGTGATTTTGGAGATCATGTCTCGGTTTTTAGGGTCAAGGATTTCATTTATGTCTAAATCTAAGTCATCAAACAATTACTTTTTATAGAAATCCAAGATGGCCACCAAAATGGATGCCAAAATGAATATGTAACTATTGATTTAAGCTAAAAGAACAGTGATTTTGGAGATCATGTCTCGGTTTTAAGGGTCAAGGATTTCATTTATGTCTAAATCTAAGTCATCAAACAATTACTTTTTATAGAAATCCAAGATGGCCACCAAAATGGATGCCAAAATGAATATGTAACTATTGATTAAAGCTAAAAGAACAGTTAAGATAAGAACAGTAATTTTGGAGACTGGAGGGGCCAAGGATTTCATTTATGTCTAAATCTAAGTAATCAAATAATTATTACTTTTTATAGAAATCCAAGATGGGCACCAAAATGGGTGCTGAAATGAATATGTAACTATTGATCTAAGCTCAAAGAACAATTAAGGACAGTGATTTTGGAGACCATGTCCAGGTTTAAGAGGCCAAGGATTTCACTTTTGTCTATAATTAAGTCATAAAATAATTCCTTTATTTTGATATCCAAGATGGCCATCAAAATGGCTGCAGAGTCACAATTTTAAGGACTGACTAAAATGTTTATCTTCATCAAACTCTCTCTGGTGTATGATACACTTGTCTTTGAGGAATTTCTTGTGCTTGATCTTCTCCATCCAATAATATACTTATTTCTATGGGCAGTCTACTTCTTTCTATAGTCAATGTTTATGACACTGAGCCACCAATTACAGTAATATTGCTAATGCGATGATTATACCTAAAATTTTATTTCGCAAATGTTCATGTAATTGTTTGTTCTTATTTGACCTTTTATAATATTATTAACACTTTGGCATCCATCTTGAATTCTGATATTAATCACAGATTGTTTCATGGCTTAGCTCTAGATAACTGAAATTCTTGACCTCCTTAAAGTAAACATTGCTTCCAAAATTATTGTTCTTGGTGATCTATGTGGTTAAATGAATAGTTATATGAATTCATTTTGGTGGCCATTTTGGAGGCCATCTTGGATATCCATATAAATAAAATGTTTGTTGATTTTAGTAAAGACAAAATTAAAATCATTGACCTCACAAACTTAAAATATAAAAAAATTAATGTTCTAACTCCTCTATATGTTTAGATAATAAATAAAATCAAAATGAAGGAATTATTTATAGTTTTAGACATAACTGAAATTCTTGACACCAAAAATCTTGACATGGTCTCAAATTACTGTTATAAACTGTTCTTTCAGCTTAAATCCAAATTTACTTGTTATTGGCACCCATTTTGGTGACTATCTTGGATTTCTATGAAAAGCAATTATTCGATGACTCAGATTTAGACATAAATGAAACCTTTGACCCCTAAAACCTTGACATTGTCTCCAAAATCACTATTCTTAACTGTTCTTTGAGCTTAAATCAATAGTTGAATATTCATTTTGGCACCCATTTTGATGGCCATCTTGGATTTCTATATAAAGTAATTGTTTGATGACTTAGATTTAGACAAGTCAAATCTTTGACCCCTTAAACCAAGACATTGTCTCCAAAATCACGGCTCTCAACTGTTCTATGAGCTTAAATCAATCAGTTAAATGTTCATTTTGGCACTCATTTTGGTGGCCATCTTGGATTTCTATCTAAAGTAATTGTTTGATGACTCAGATTTAGACATAAATGAAATCCTTGACACCTAAAACGCAGACATGTGCTCCAAAATCACTGTTTTTAACTGTTCTTTGAGCTTAAATCAATAGTTGAATATTCATTTTGACAGCCATTTTGGTGGCCATCTTGGATTTTTATGAAAAGTAATTATTTGATGACTCAGATTTAGACATAAATCAAATCCTTGACCTCTAAAACATAGACATGGGCTAAAAAATCACTGTTCTTGAGTGTTTCTTGAGCATTAACAGTAGTTACATATTCGTTTTTGCACCCATTTTGGCAGCCATCTTGGATTTCTATAAGAAACAATTGTTTGATGACTTAGATTTAGACATAAATGAAATCTTTGAGCCTAAAACCTAGACATAGGTCCTAAAATCACAGTTTTTGCATCTCAGTGTGCTTAGATATACCCACTCTTATATTGTAACACGTGCACCGGCGGCCATTTTGAAAAATGGGTGATAACACCCATTTAGCTACAACTGTTACAATGCTATCACATATTTTCTTACTCTAGAGGTCTTAAGCTTCCCAAAAATCACTATGGCGATTATTCCCCTAATTTGATACCGACCAACCCCCCAGGCTGATGGCCTAATATTGGTTGAACATTAAACATTTCACGAACACAATGCATGAATTCTCGAAACGAAACATTCTTTAAATCATTGCTCTCTCATGCTAGTGTCATTGTGTAACTACCTTATATGTTAACTCCACTTTATTTTGCCTCACCTTTCCCAATTTGCGTCACCAAGTTTAGGTCCTGTATACGCCCCTGATTTAAAGGTTAAAAATACTTTGCAAAACCTTTTGATCAAATAGATTCAACCATTTGACATCTTGCTTCATCAAGCTTCGGACCTATCCTCAGATAGAACATAGTGATTGCTGAGCGTGGGATTCGACGATGCCATTTGAAGGAACGCCGGAACCTGGTTTTCTTCAACTATCAACCACACAACTGTATGTAATCTTTATTTCATACACATGTAATGTGTACTTGCGTAAACTTGCGTAAACTGAAATATGAACTCTTAGATAAAACATAATAAGATTATTCTAGGTGATATATACGCCAGGGTCAATCGGTTCACCTACTACATTTACATCATATTGACACCCTCACCCCCCCCCCCCTCCCTTCAACGATAGTAAGGTAGGCCGCGAAAAAGCCATTACAACGACCTAGCTGTCACTATTAATAATGTAACCATTTGAATGATGACGTATAGTTTCCTTGGGACGTCGGCCGCCGTAGGTTTTTGACAAATACCAAAGAACACGCAAGGTGGTTGCAGGGATAACGTACGTCGACCGTACAGCCAGACTGACACTACGGCATAGCTAAGGCTTGTCTAATTTCCCCGGTGACCAAGCATAGAAATAGATTTTGTACAGCCACCATCAGAGAAAGATGGAAAAATATGATTCTGCACCAAAAAAATGTGATTGGTTAAACCTGTCTCAACCGATCCGAGATCTTACATGTCTTAGCAGGTGTGGTATGTGCTATACTAGGGCCCATACATGATAAAAGGATAGGTATCGATATGGAGAACCTGAGACTAACATAATTCTATGTTAGTCTCAGGGAGAACTGAATTCAACAATGTTTTTCTCTTAAACCAATCATTGAAAACATTCTGTAAAAAACATGGTATTTTATGTGATGTTGACTGATTCACAACAATTCCATGCGAAAATTATTGAGAATTATTTTATATAACTGTTTTTGTTAACATTTTTTGTTTTTTTAGTGCAATTGTTTTTGCTCCTTTCTACCAATTCTTGAGAATGAAACAAAATGTCTTTCCGAACCTTGTTGGAACAAAATAGCATACAACATGTTTTTAGACCTCTCAATATTAAAGTTATACAAATGAATTTTTGGTTGATTTTAATAAAAAAGTATTCAAAAAATTAAAACAAAATCCCCCCAAAATAGATAAAAATCAAGAAAACCCTTTTATTTCAATAACAAGATACTTTTTTATAATCAACCAAAATTTCCTTTGTACAATTACAATATTGAGAGACCTAAACATGTTGTGTTTATGTCGTTTTGTTCCAATGAGGTTCGGAAAGATGTTTCATTTCACTCTGGAAACATGATACCAAGAACAAAACGAGTGTTTGATGTGTTTTTTAAAACAATATAGATGAAAGTATGTATATCTATTTCAAATTATATTGCTACCATTCAAAAGATGGCCATTAAATTGACAATTTGTAAGATTTTCAGAAATTTTTGATGACTGGTTTAAGAGAAGTGTGTGTTCAAAAAGTTCGCCATATCGATACCCATTCTTTGCTTTCTAATAAACGCTTTAAGATTAATTATCTTCCTACTACTATTGTGTAAGCACGATACATAATGTGTCTCTGTGAAAGAATTGAGTACATCCATTTGGTTCCAACAAAATATGAAGGAAAACTGAAATGACTGTAAAATCAAATATCACATTGAAACCCTGCATTGAAAGTAAGAGCTTTAATTCAGACACCTATTGACTGTCAACCTTACTCATTCAAATACCAATATACATAGGAGGGTTGTCCCAGTGCATTATTTCTGGGACAACCCTCGTATATTGTATAATTATGCTATCAGTTGTATAATTTATTGATGGATCCCTGCGAATATTGAAATCCATCCAGGATAAAAATTAAAGCAAATCAATAATATGGGTTTTTGTCTCACACTTCATTCATTATACATATAAAAATAAAATGATTTCTTATGATGTCAATATTTTTGCAACTTATAATCGTCACTTCACTTCTGTATTATGACTGACTGAGACAACCAATCAGATTGCTCTAAAGCTAAATACCATGCTGGGTCATATACAGTACAGGGTGTCCAAGAAATAATAATTATACAATATACAAATAACAAACTTGATATAATCACTTATAATATTTGAGTGCTTGTATTTCGTATTTCCTGTACACCGTGTGTAGTAAACTATACAGGGTGGGCCAAAAAAACGCCATTTTTTTCAATACCCCAAATTTTGCAGTTATATAGTGCCAAGGGTTCTTAGTAATAATATAATGTAACAAGTCCTTCAACTTTGATTATATTTGATCTAAAAGGGGAGTTCAATTGGTCCGCCACCCTAACAGATGATAAATTTTAGTTTTAGTCGCCTTGCTGATATTGCAGTATCAATGAAATGTTAGCTAAGTTTTTTTTAACCTGTCTTAATTGCCAGCTTTAGTTGAGCAATTTTCTAGATTGGGTGCCTTCATACAATCTCCTGGAGACCTTCCCATACCCTATACTCACTGGGGTTTGCATCAGGGCTATTAGCTTGGCGATAATCAGGCCGTATCAGTTCAGGAACATTTTGCAAAATATGCTTATTTCTCATGGCACACCACATGTTTAAATGAGACGCTGGTGACTTATTTTATTCAAGTAAAAGTGTATAATTCATGATCAATGGCTAGATAACAACCTCAAGTGTCATTTGGTATGCAAATTATGATTTAATATCAAAAATCAAAAAAGGTATAGCATTTTGAAAAAAAAGTGGCGTCTTTTTGGCCCACCCTGTATATACATGCTCTGTATGATCTCTGTATTGCCATCAGTATTGCACAATTCCTCAATAAGACACATCTTTCTTGCCATAGCAACGACGTTATCCATCCGATACAAACATCTATTTAAAGTGTTCTTCCCAGTGTTTATCACAAAGACATTACAGTTTTTCCAATCTGTCGGTTTTGGAGTGTCTGTAGAGCATCTATGGTGTTGTCAAAGTTGACTGTTTTTGTTATATTGGCTCTGAAATAAAAAAGGGCCTTCCATGACCTTTTTGGGCCTAATTATCAAAATAGTTTTCAAAAGCATTGGAATTATTTCTTTAAAAATGGGCCCCTATTTCAATTTCCAGATCTGTCCCTGCATTAGAACAGGTGAAAAATAAAACTGTACAGTGAACTATAATTTAGAATTAATATCACTACAATTCTGCTGAACTTTATCAGATTTAATATTATATTATATTATTACCACCTTGCCTAGGGGTTTTAGCGCTAGTATAGAAGGCATTCCTTTTACTATATCGACCTGAGCAATATTTGACGTCATAGTGGTGGTCCATAATGGCGGTCAATAATGCAATTAATGACCAGCAATTTTCCCCGGGATATTAGATATCGTTCAGTGCGTAAGATTTTCTTGCTATTTCAGCCCTGGTCATTAACAGTGGTAAAATAGTAATAACTTCATTTCGAAGGGCAATATAGTGAAATATTGTACCTTGGGCCTTTGGTCCTCGATCCAATATTTCACTATATTGCCCTTCACAATGACGTTATTGTACTATTATATTATATTATATTATATTGATGTATCCAATATATAATCTGTAATTTGTATATTGTAAAATGACTTGAGATGAACTCACTTGATAAGTCCCTGTGATAATTTATCCATTATATCAGCTAAGATATCTTGTTGGAGAGTCAAGGATGGTTAATACATATCACATGAATCAATATATATTTTTATTGTGCCATATTATATATCATAATAGAATGTTACATTTTTATATTGTGTCATATCATATGTATATTGTGTCATCCAAAATACCTGCACTGCACTTATTTTATGGTACAGTAAAACCTGTTAAAATGGAACATCTTTGGTACCTCTATATAAGTGTTCAATTTGGGAGGTCTCAGGGCTCTTAGTGTCTCACACTCAGGTGCTCCACCTCACATGTTTCACTGTATAAAAAGTCATCAGAATACTGATATAAATATAACTAGTTTTGGTTAATAAATGTAATATAATTCATTCATGAAATATTTCATAAAATAATTACTTCAATGTAATTTCAGGAGAGTAATTTATTTTATCAATAATTTTGAGTTATTATAAAGGATACGCTGGTAACGACCTTGTTGGGAATTAGAGAGAAGCCAAGACTCGGGGAACAGGAAACAAACACTTGCAGAGCGCAGAAACAGACATTCCGAGTCTAGTGGATCCAGCTGAAATGAATATGACATGAACAATCAGATTATGTGTAGTCAGGCCCGTCAGATGGGGGGGGGGGTGCGATGGGTGCGACCGCACCCCCCTTTGACACCCCCCAAAAAAAATTTAAAAATTAAAAAAAAAAATTGAAAAATATTTTTTTGATAATTTTTTTTTCATCATCTCTTTAAAGTGCCCAGAAAGCATCAAATAGCATCTTAAAATTGTAAAATTTTCTAGAGGGATTGGGCCACCCCTCACACCCCCCTCAATACAATGGAAAAGTTCTGAATTTATATTATGTATTGTCTCAGACACTTTTAAAGTGTCCAAATGCCCAGACATCATCACATACAGGTAGCTCCTTCATATAGTCAATGTTTCTGGGGGACTAACACTTGCTCCCCTTCGGGAGACCTACCCCACCCCACCTCCCCCTCTGGCACCCTCGCCCCCCTGGATTCCCCTCCAAAAAAGTTGAAAAAAATAGTGATTTTCTCAATTTTTTAATTGACTCATACACTTTGAAAGTGCCCAGAGAGCACTAAATAGTGTTTTAAAATTGTAAAATTTTCTAGGCGGAGTGGGCCACCCCTCACACCCAAAACAAAACAATTGAAAAGTTCTGAATTTATTTTATGTATCATCTCAGACACATGTAAAGTGCCCAGACATCATTAAATAGCTCCTTGATATAGTCAATGATTCTGGTGTGTAGTGTAATAGAAGGCACGCGGTATACGTTCACAATAACCCAGATGCGAGTAGAAATAATCTTGATTTACGTCATTAAAAATTCAAAATTCAGTCGAAGTAATATCATATTTGAAATCTACATGTAAAATTACATCTAGAAATGTGGTTTTAAAAAGTGTTTATCAACTTTGAAAAATTAATTTTCTTTGAATATGTGACTTCTAGCTCGGGGAGATTCCCCATAGACCCCATGCTATAAAATCACAAAAAATGAAATATCTTTTCTTTTAGTGGACATATAATATTTTGCTTTACTGGACATATGTTCATTAGTATAAGTATCAGACACATAAGGGTTATATGAAAATTGACCCACTTAAATTAATAATATTCAAGTTTAAGGGAACTTTCTTATATACCTGCCATGTTAATTGACCCGAATCAGCCACCTAGTGGTGAAACTGGTAACTACCTACTCGCATTTGGGTAATTAAGTCATTGATTTTAGGCTGATATATAGATGGCAGCAGCAGCAGAATACCAAATATGATTTCTTTCACATCTCCCTTCTGTGTCCTTACTTCATCATTCGTGCAGAGCACATTTTTGGGGGATATAACTTTTAATCATAAGGATGACATTTAATTAACTAATTATTTAATTCTACTAGTTTGCAAAATCAACTAATTTCTCTTGCAATATTGCTGACATTCCACTTGCAGTGCCAGTAATAATTCACTCTTGGGTTTAATGTTCAACAATTTTAAATCCATTGTCTTTACCTGAAGATCTGGTTGTGATGTCACCCACCGTCCACCAACCCCTAGACAGGATATGATGTCATACTTGTGGCAAGATGGGGATTTGTTGGTTTCTCCGGCAATAATCATATCATCTTCACTCGTAAATAAACGTGCTGAAAAATTTATATTCCTTTTTATCTGTACAGTTAATATAGTCCTGGTATATAGTTCTATAGAGAGTATTTTCTCAATAAAAATTAAAGAGATAAAGACAAGAATTTAAAAAATGACATTATCCTAACATTATCTTACCCCCATTATCTATGACACAATCAACTCCTATGCCCCCAGTCTCCTCCAATACACTGCTAGATATAGGACGTGTCTTGTCACCAGAATCTATAATTTGTGCTGAAAAATAAAATTGTATTGTCTTCATTTGAAGTAAACACAAACCAACATTTCATTCTAACAACATTTTAAATGTTTACTATTGATTCAAAATTCAAGAAACCAAGTACATTGTCAACCATAACCACGAGAGGTTTATCACACACTTGCACAGACAGGAATGGGTAAATAGTGTTCAGAAAAAAAGGAAGAAGATTTACCACCGCTTGAAATATCACCTCTCCTTGATAAATTACCTCCTTTTGACGAGTTACCATCCCTTGGTAGGTAACGCCCACATTTAACATAAGGTGGAACTAGAGGTAATTTTTCAAAATCTGGTTATAAAGCAAAAGATGGTAGCTAACCAAGATAAGCAATTTAGCAGAATTTTAAAAAGTAAACAAGAGGAGTTAATATAGCAAAGGGGTGGTAACAACTAGAAGAGGTTACCTACCAAGGGATGGTAACTTGTCAAGAGGTGGTAATTTATCAAGGAGAGGTAATTTATCAAGCTGTGGAAACTTACCTAAAGGTGGTTGAAGAGTCTCAAGGAAACTTCTTTCTTCTGCACAGCTCACTGTTGCCATGACCTGCATTAAACAAACACAACATTGATATACACAATATTGATTATACTAACATCATTTTAATTTCACATTTTTGACAAGTTACTATGCAAATACTATGGAAATAGAGGAGTCAATGGGAGTAGCATCATTGTATGAGGCGGTTAACTCAAGTATCAAAATGTATTTGGCATTACAATTTTGATTTTGACAAGATCTTTCTGACCTCATTGAAGTTATATTTTATGGGATGCTATTAGAGTTAATTATGAATGGGATGTAGATTTATGACTGTCTCCTGTTAACCAACCAGCCATCAGGAGCGTAGCTAGCTTTCAGTCCGGAAGGGGTGCGATCGCCAAAAAGTTTGGTCAGGGGGGGATGCGATTGTCTGCAAACTTATCATACTCTATATAATGGGTAGCTTCATAATATCATCTCATTTCTTACAAACCTTTATCTTTAATAAATTATAGGTTTAAATCACCTTTGCTCCCCAAAGTTGAGCTAACTGTATTACCATTGTCCCAGCTGATGAGGCGCCATCTATCACAAGGAGGGTATCCCCACTACAGAGTCTGGCGAGATAGTGTAGTGCTATGTATGCTTTCAGACAGTCCCCTATACAAGCAGCTGCCATTTCAAATTCCACACCTTCTGGTATCTTAACTGAAAACAAGAAGTTATGTAATAAGAGTACATGTATTAAAATTATGGAAATAAATCATTCACGTTAATCTAAAAACCTAATTTTGTATTTATTTGTTAAAAATATATGTGGGTAGGTATCTTCTTGCATATTGCCACTTTTTCAGACATTATTTTGTGTGTGTATCAAAGATGCAATCCATAATTTCTCATACATGTACAGTGAGACCTGCAAAGTGGAACACCTCTAGAAGTGGAACATCTCTGTTAGTGGAACACATTTCAGAGTCCCAAGACAAACTGACACCTCTATAAGTGGAGCACCCCCCAAGTGGAACACTTTTTGGAGGTACCACAGGTGTTCCACTTAGACAGGTTTTACTGTACTTACTCACCAATATTATGTTCTTTAAGTACACAGAAATCTGCACAAGCTGACATTTCACTGTCCAATGGACAAAATCCTGAAATAAGCAATAGAAATTAGGCTATACAGGTTTGTTGAAGTTGAATGGATAGAAAAGGGAACATCATGATTTTATACAAGATTTTGCTCTCATCATTTCATCATGCCTACTTTAGAAAAGGTCCATCAGAACTGAAATCAGGATCATCATTCGAGTTTTAGGTTATCTGGAATAAATTCCCCTTTCTATCTTAATAGATTCAGACATCCCTGCATTCTAAATCTTCGTTAACTACTTCTTTTCTACTCATTTACCAACATTTCATTTGATTTGATCTGAAAACTATATTTATTCTGGGTAGCTCCTTCAGAACAAAACTTGTCTTACACCACTATCCATTAACCCGAAACCTGAAACGAAACTTTCTAAAGGAGTATCAAGTAGGCGGTTTCCCTGTACATGTTTAATTCTGAAATCTAAGAGCTCTTACCTGCGACTCTATCTCCAGGCTGAATTCCTGTCACACTGCATCCAACTTGGGTGACGAGGCCCGTCACTTCAAATGTTGCGCTGTAAAGACATTGCTCTGACTTTGTAGTTGAGTGAAGGAGATTCAGAACCTACAAATTTAAGTTTCATTTTTAAATTTACAGTTCATGTTCTTCTTCACTGATAAACAGTCACCATTCACCATGTGGATGTATTACAGAAAATTACTTTAAAATCCTTCAAACGGCCAGATACCATAGATTTTTAATGTTGTCTGGTTTGCTTCAACATACATGAACTTGAAGAACAACCTGCCAGGGTCTAAGATTCTAATCCCGACATTGGTCATTTCCTGGAGGCACCCAAAGATCATTAAATATTGTTATTGTCCACAGATTAAAAGACGAACTAGAAAGAAAGTACATGTACACAAACCTTATTAGAGATATTTGAGAGCCCACATGCTTTAACCTGAACTACAACACTGGTATCATCATGTTTAGGAAGCTCTACCTGAAACAAACAGAGCAAAAATTACATTATCAGCCTCAAACAATTATTTTAGAGATTTGAAATATGGCTAAAAATATATTGATGGTTTAATTTGATTATCTATGAATGATAATACCATGGGCTTTCAATCTAGTTGACAGATGACTCCACTTGCCCCAGGTAGGTAAACTCAAACATTTACAACATGAGGCAAGATGGTTTTTGGTTCAGTTCATGTGTAACACCCCCATAAATGTGGGGTTGATTTTTCCATGGGCTTTCAACTATTGAAAGCCCATGATTTTTCAAATCGCCCATAAATGTGGGATTGATTTGAACAATCAACCCCACAACCGCTTGTGTATTGAAATCTTGGGGTTGAAAATTAGCTGGATTAATGGTTATTTAGATAAAATTCAGCTTTACATGTAAGTCAACTACTGGCAACCTGTTAAACCCAAGACTGTAATACAGAAGTTGTGGGGTTGAATTAACCCAACTTATGGGGGTTATGTGTAATGATCCTCAATAATAAGTTGCAACTTCAGTTTCAGCTGATTGCACTACATGTAGTACATGTACAATGTTTTTGCAGTGCTCATGATAAAACTCAAGAGTTTCAGCATAAGGAGCTATCTACATTGTTCTGTTTTTTGTCCAGTATCTGGCTTGTTACACATACCCCCATAAATGTGGGGTTATTTTGAGTTTTTTCATATTTAGGACATTTGTTTCTCAAGTCCTAAATATCAAAAAAACTCAAAATAACCCCACATTTATGGGGGTAGTTACACTACAACTCCTCCGAGTCGCCTCGGGTCATTACACTGAATTGAAAGAGTATGAGACTAAAACCATTAAACAGTGTAAACAGCTCACTATGCCTAATATTCCTTGAGCTCTATCACGAGCACTGCAAATACATACAAGCACTTTCAGCACTGAGAATTTGATTTTGAATGGAAAAGAATTTCTCAATGTAAGAATCATAGATTACGACACCTATACAGGAATCTAAAGTCATACATTTGTATCCAAACTAATCTTGATATCTTTATCAGACGTGGAAAGTTCTCTGTAGATAACCTTCATTGCTGTTATCTTTGTTATATTGTCTTTATTACTTGAATTTTGATTCAATTTCAGACATATCTTGAAACGCCCCGCCCACTTTTAAATGCAGCGAGTTTTGATGCGTCTATTAGTATTTCAATTTGTGTGATATTATAATATAGTCACCATCGCAATGATATAAATATAACTGCCCATCCAATATAACAACAGAAAAGTAAACAGGCTAGATATTATACTCAAATTTATGACGATAATAAGGTAAAAATAATTATACGAAAGTAACTATAGGGCAACTTTGAATAAACGCTAGCTCAGTCTGATTTTATCGGAAATAGTAGTCCTGTCACATTTGGACGTTATTTGCAGCGTGTATGTAGCCATTAAGTGTGTATTATGATTTTACTAATGGATTATATATAGATGAAACTGCATACAAAGTTTTAGAGTGATTGGTATCCTGTAATTTACTATATTTAGCCTTTCTTCTCGAAAAGAGGTGTGATCGAAAAATCCAAGATGGCGGTTAAAATTTGAACTTTCCAGTATTCTAGAAGATTTCTCCAATTAATTCAACCTAGGATTCTCCATCAGCAGCAAAAGACTATTGCATCGAAGTAAGTATACTTACATGTAATTAAATTCAGTATATGCCCAGCTATCATAGTTTATATGCCAACTTTGAATCATTCAGATTTGAGTTTTCCAAGATGTTCACTTGACTCGAGTTTAATCTATTGGCCTAACTTGAATGATCCTGATCCTCATTCAACAGAAACTCTGTAATCATCGTCAAAATCATTGATTGATGACCGAATAATCAAAGTACAATGTCTCCATCAGTATCTACCACCACGGACGTCCGCCAGATCCTCCTCTGTGTCTAGGCTCAATAAATATACTCAAGGACAAGACACACGGTTTTCGGAAAATTTATTTTTCCTTGATTTTGGAGTCAGTTTATCAATAAATATCACATGTCATACCTCAAACGATGCATACTGTTGTTAGCTTCAACTCCAATCACTAAAGCCACTCATCTGAGAAAGTGTCTGTTGATAAAAGCATAAAATAAGCGAGCGGATATTTAATGGAGCGCTTCGGCTATCTCCATTGTACAAATTATTATTCCCAAAGTCAAATGCCTTTTTCTGAGAATGTGACGCCACTCCGGATGACGTCACATCAGAGATTACCGAGAAGTCCAATGACGTTTCTTTAAACTCTCGTAGAAACAATAACAACGGTACGCGATTCTTTACTTTCATTGGCTATTTGTTGCGATGTGACATAATTTGAGAGACGAACAACATCGGACACTGCCGGAAATTACCGAAGTGCTCCATTATCTTTACACTCTGAAAATTTGAAATAAATGTCCCGGGAAAAGTCGAATTACAGCGTCAATAATGGATATCATGCAACCATTCAAACTTATACATAAAGAAGGGATTACAGAGTAAATATTGATCAATCAATGTCTGACAGATGGAAAAAATAAAGGTCAGTACAAGGGTCATATTTTTGGGTGGTCATTTTTTTGATGTAGCATTTTTGGCTCGTGTCTCATCTTCCCATTTATCCTTTGAGCATACTACCAATAGGGGCTGAATCTGGCTCCGGATCTGTGTCTACCACCACATTTACAATAGCGATGATAATGAGCCATTAGGGGAAGTTGTCAAACTTATGGGGTTACCTCGACGTGGGGCTATTTCAACCATGAGGTTATTTGGACCATGTCTAATAATTTGAATATCCAGGCTCGGCCATCTTGGATTAGATCTTGGCTGTTGGAGATTTCAATTTATTCTAAAATTTTCAAAATACAAACATGGCGGAATTTGTAGACTGAAATTATAAGCCAATGTCTAAATAGCTCAATGGCCCTAATAGCCCCATATCAAAGTTATCCCATATGTCAAGGTTCAAAACTTCATTCACCATATTTTATCTCTATGTCCTATATTATTTAAAGGTTAAAAAGGTGTCTGTTGGTCCCTCTGTTGAACATGGTGGTACAGATTAAAATTATTGTTCATATTTGTTGATTTACTGTCCATTTGACCTGTCATCGCCATTTCTTAAAACCTCTCTTGTCTCCTTTCTTTTACTGGACATATTTTGATTTGTAGAACTATCAGATACATAAGGGTAATATGAAAAGTGAACCACTAAAAATGATGAATATTCAAGTTTATGGGAATTTTGTAATACCCCGCCATGTTATTTCCCCCGAATCAGCCACCTGGTGGCAAAACTGGTAACTACCTACTCGCAATAGAGTGATTATATTAGTATTATTAGCAGAAGAGCATTTAATTTTTTTAAATACACATATAGGAGATTTGTTTTTAAAATAAAGGCAATGCACAATGAGGAACTCTGTATTCAGACCACAGTGTGGGAAATAAGCACCAAAATTGTCCAGATAGATTTTGCTGAGACAAGAGACAATGAATTTTGTTTTACATATGAAATGAAAGAATATAAGTTGGCCTTCTTCTGAGGAAGAAGTTGTCGACAAATGAAACAATGCAAAATAAAAAATGTAATGATTAACAATTTCAGTCATTTTATACCCCCCCCCCCCTCTGTTTCTATGTATATATTTTTTGATTTTTAATACAGGCCTGTCAACTGTCCCGCAATTTGCGTATTTGTCACGCATTTGCTGAAGAATTTGAAGTCACGCCAGTTATTTTTGCGTGACAGAAAATGTCACGCAAATACGCATTTTACCTGGTAATTGTCAAGCAAAAATCTTTCTGTAGAAAATTTTCAAAAAAAGATCGTCTACACAGCAAAAATACGAACGACGGGAAAAAAACGTACACATTTCGTTCGGACTTTTCACGCGAATCACGGATATGTCACGCATTCCGTTCGAAATTTTTCGCAAATACGCATTTTACCTGGTAATTGTCAAGCAAAAATCTTTCTGTAGAAAATTTTCAAAAAAAGATCGTCTACACAGCAAAAATACGAACGACGGGAAAAAAACGTACGCATTTTGTTCGGGCTTTTCACGCGAATCACGGATATGTCACTCATTCCGTTCGAAATTTTTCGTACCTACCCCCCCCCCCCCCCCCCCCCCCCCCCCCCCCCTTGAAGGATGTTTGAAACGCAAGCGTAGCGAGCGCGAAAAATTTGAGGTGTTCAAAATTTGGCAAGATGTAATAAAATGTAAACCAAGGTGTTCAAAATTTGGATCAAGGTGTTCAGATTTTGAGGGGAGGTGTTCAACATTTCCAAGTCACTCATGTTAGGTGTTCCCAAGTTGACAGGCCTGTTAATATATTGACCAAGTACAAAAAATTGTCCAGTGTGTTTTCAAACTGTCTGATCAAAATTTTGACCAGTCAAAAAAAAATTTGTCTGGAGTGTTTCAAAGTGACTGGACAGATTTGTCCAGGCACAAAAAATGCTTATTTCCCACACTGAGACCATATACTGTAATCATTGTATGAGGAATTTGAAGTAAGTTCAAATATATTTTTTTATCATTATATCACATAAAATGCTCTGCAAAACAAAAATGCTCTTATGCTGCCAAGCAAAATCTGTTGAGGTATTTCATTTTTGTTGGCAGTATGAATTCACTCTTTTTGAGCTAACTTTGCATTTTGATCACATCTCAGAAACATTTTACAGGTTATTTTCCCTTATTCTACATTCTCTATTTAAATCTTGAGAGTTCAATCATCTGCATAGATTAGGGGTGTTACGGTTTCCCGATATTGGACCAAATTTTGGTCGAGATGCTTCGGTTCTGGACACAGGACACAAAGGGTTAATATTGGAACAATATCGGTACATAAATTCCGTACCTATAATGCATAAAAACGTGTAAAGATAGCAAGGAACACCTCCGATTTCGTTCTGAAAAATAAATATTTTCACTTACCTTGTACCTGAGATTACACTTCTTGGCATTGAAAAGTGTTATAAACAACTCGCTATTTCAGGTAGATGGTAATGCTTGATCGTAAATTTCTTCGTCGTCGTTCTCAAATAGAGTGCATCAATATGCCGGATGTAGAAAAGAAATTGAAAAATCGAGCTGGCATCTAAGTCTGCAGTTTGGAAGTATTTTGGGACTCCAATTGGTGATAGTACACCATGCAGATTATGTCTAATGCTGATCACATTCGCGGCAGATGTGTTATGTTAGATTTAAATTGACATTTTTTATTTCTGAATATAATTTTGAAAAGTGAAACTGCCATCCTCATACCCTTGCATCTGTCCCATCCCAAAAGTACCGTGTCCTGAGACCATTTGTACCTTTCCGTACCGTACCAAAATTTTTTTGGACTGTGTTACACCTCTAGCATAGATGTCAGAATTTGGACTGTTGGCGTGTCGGTTCATTTCCTTTCATCAATTCTTCAGATCATAAGATTAACAACTGTAGGTTTAGGTTTACATATATATAAAATGGTACATGTATCATGCTAGATCAATTTTGCATGTTGCTTGCAATTTTTCACCCAATTGATATAGCTCTGATTCTGTCTTTAAATCATCCTCATACCCAATGACTTCACAAGTGACTTATGGCACATCATATTTGATGCAAAATATAGAATCATGTGAGACTCTTGATTTAAGCTAAACACAAATCAGTCAGAATGCCAGCTCATTTTTTCAAATTTACCAATTCTTCATTTTTACTTTACTTTTTTGTAACTGTACATAGTAGCAAATTTAAAATACCTCTTTAACTATTATTCACGTTTAACTATTGTTCATCTATTATTGTATCCATGTATCTAGAAAATTGTGAAAAGGGAAATTCCCTCATTTGTTAAATTTAGCATCAACTTGTTATGCTGTAGGAGGGGGGGGGGGTTAAGAGATTTTGTATTAGACTAATGAATTAGTACAACCTTTGATTTATTTATTGATTTACTCATTCTAAATTTTGAAAAACATTTTTGTTGTATGTATTCCCTACAAAAAGGATTTCTAGTTACCTCAGTTTTGCATAGAAATGCATAAATAAGATATTTACATAATTTAATAAGTAAAAGTCTTATTGAAACTACTGTTTTATGTGACCAACTGAAGTGTTGACATATATTGTTTTAGTCTCCAACTGTTTTGTGGATGGTGTTCAGCATGTGGCAGTTGGTGTTTGGCGATTGGTGTTCAGCATCTGTAAATGGCAGATGGTGACATTTTGCATGTTAATACATTGTTAAATTTTTAAAGATTTTTTTATTATTTCTATTGTAGGGACAGAGTGGTGTTTCAATCCTGAGAAAATGGCAGGTATGTAAAGGGAACTCCAATAAGATCAAGATAAAGTATTGCATTGAACATAACATCGACCTTAACTGAAAGTGATGAAACTTCTTAATGGTTAAATAAAATTGACAAATTTGAAAATAGTTGTTTTAAAAGATACTATATTACTTAATTTCTCTTTTAGATGAAGAAACATACATGTATATACGAAGCAAAATATCAAACACTTTGAAACTAATCTCTTTAATAGTACAAAACATTGCAATTTCTTAATGAGTCAATGAGTAATGCCACCAATTCTTTTAATGGGCTAAAATCAATTTCGTTCCTTGGAGTCATTCTTCTGATAAATGCCTTTTGTTTTTTTCGTTGGTTGTAAGAATCCACCACTGATAATTTATTGGACAGTGTTATTAACCTCGCCCACCATCCAATAATCTATGGTTTACAGAAGCTGGGAATCAATAGTGTAGTATCATGCCTGGTATTATATTAGTTCTATTGGTATCTTGAGAATCAAGAAGTTCACATTGTCCAAATAATAAAAATCAAAAACTGCCTCAATTTTAGAATTTTTTGCTCTCATTCTATTTAATGTCCATTTTCTGAAAAGTCAATCATCGCAGCCATTTTTCAGAATTATCCTTCAGAATATGTCAAAAAAGAAAAGTTCAGGCTTGATGATTTTGGACATTTCGAGTAGAATTCGGACATTACCAGTGAAGAAAAAATTGACATTGACATAATTTTTGAAAAGATAACTTCATGTCTCTTCTTTCCCTCCCTTTTAATTCCTTTGCTTTAAAGTTTAAGTGCATTTGTAAGACTATGGCACTTACTGCACAAGTCCTAGTTGCAAAGCCCATATATTCAAATTGAGCATTTATAATCTCAGGCAATCATTCATTTCTCAGTAAGATTAGGTCCCTATGACTTCCATGCAGAATATATCTAAGCTCTAGAATATTGTATTGTATTGTAGGCTTGTACCATATCTCTGATTATTCCCTAGTATTTGAGAAAGAATGATGGGGGAGGGGAGAGATAATGATATAGAGGATATAAGAAAGCTACAATTATGTAGAAATAACTACAGTGAAAACCTGTATCTCTGAACACCTCTCTAATCCAAACACATCTTAATATGAACACTTTTTCTCCATCCTGAATTTGTTATATCTTACTGACTCACATACCAGCATAGTATTCAAGAAACCTTGACATATGAACACCTGCTAATCCAAACACTTTTGGGTGTTTCCACTGGTGTTCGAATTAGACAGGTTTTACTGTACATGAATGCAATTAGGAAAAACAGACTTGCTGTAGCAGATCAATTAAATCTGAAGTTCATATTTGGCACAATCAGGAAGGCCAGTAGTAATTATTACCATCATACATGTACGTATGAATGAAGTGTTTTATACAGAGGCAAAATCAGACTTATGAAAACTGGAATATTTCTAGTTATCGTAATCATCGTATTGCTTTAGATATCATTGATTTTAGAAACAAATTCATCATTTAATAAATCTTCATTGCTTGATACAAGTTAGTAAGTTTATTAGAAGTCTATGTTAAGATTGCAATTTTGTGGAGATTTTCATTGTGTAAAGGGAAGTGTTTTGTTAACACTGATTATTATCAAGTCATATGACAAAGATAATGGCATGACACAAATTGTCTTATTTTGGGCAATCAGAAAATTCAGACAGCTAATCAATAGGATTCCATGTAATAAGAACTGATTTTCCCATGGGGTTTCAAGAAAATAGATGGGTACAATCTGAGCATGATCATCCCTTTCACGGTTATATGGCATGAATGGGAGAAGTCCCGCTTCAGCACAAATTGAAAACATTCAGAAAATGGGTGTGTCCTGGGTACAGTAAAACCTGCATATCCAAACAGTTCTCTCATCTGAATACCTCTCAATGTGAACACTTTTTCTTGGTCTACAATGTATTTTCTCATTGATGCACATGTTTATAAAACCTTGAAATGTGAACACCTACTAATCCAAACACTTGGCCAGTCCCAGAGGCGTTCGTATTAGACAGGTTCTACTGTACATGAAACATGCGGGCAGGTTTTGCTGTATAGGTGGAACATTTGATACCTGTTACCTTCAAATGAACAAGCTGATAATTCTCATGCGCTGGTATTGGATTGATCTGTTGAATGTCTGTACAAGGTTATTTTGTTTATCAGTGCTTTCTCTTGCAGAAATCTCACATGGATAACTGAAATATGAATCGCTCACTTTTTCCAGGCTCTTGTCTGACTAGTTAATTAATATGTCACATTGCCTCTTTATTTAGTTGAATGTTTGTCTCATACGCTCATTGATACAGGCTAGGGCAAATAAAGGAAATGTTTAGCATATCCTGGCTCACATATCTATTTCAAATTCCATGAAATCAAGCTCTGATGTAGCATTCATAGAAACTGTGATTCTTAATCTTACAGAAATGTGTGTTTCTCCAAGTTTGAAGGTATACAAGAGAAAAATATAGATCCTCACCATGATTCTACAAATGATAATGCAAATTGAATTGAATTGCTTTGACATCTTTTAAAATATATTTGCTTCAGTTGACCCCTGGCGAATCACAATGGAGGACAGAACCAAGCATGATAGCCAGTTCTTCCAGTTAAAACCAATGCAGGGCTTTATCACAGGTAAGATTTGATTTAAACATAAAGTAGAAGTGTTTGTCATTTTGTGACATCAGTGTGAGAAATAAGCACTCGACAATCGACAAATTTCGAGTCTGAAAAAATATCTGTCGAGGCCTTTTCAAACGTTCTGGTCAAAATTGTTGGGAGAGATATTACAGAGACGTGATCGTATCTTCCCTCTTTGCCTCTGACATATTACTTACCAACAGACCTAAGTAATCATCGAGATTTTAGGAGAAATTGTCTTCGATGTTCGAAAATTATTTTCATTTTTCATTCCGCCTAGAATACGATAAATTTGTGATCGCTTAAAAATTGTGAACACCTTTCAATAAAACAACGAACGCATGTAGTTTTGCTACTAAATAATAGCTTCCGGTCGCGGTTTTATGCTGCAGAATGATTCGATTTTCGAAGCGGTAGACATAATACTGCATACAGTTTGCAAGGCGCTAAATCTAATACGATCTATCCCAGCATCAAGTGCAGGCAATTGAGAGAGGGTTCTCTACAATGAAGTTAACAAAAACAAACAGGAGGACAAAACTTAGCTTTGCCCAAGTCAGTATTTTACTTATCTGATCTTGAATTACTACCGCCTTGTACAATCCAATACATCTCTGCTGATATTATGCTAAAGATTCAACGGTTTCGAGATTTCCATATATACCTACGCTATCAGGGGTATCGCGAAACCTTATTGATTGACAGGTATCGCGTGGACACGACGTGTGACTTCAGGCTGAATGACCAATCAAACAATATCGGGTTGAGCTTCATAAACAAAACAAACTTCCCATCTACGACTTGATATTCAATGATCTGATCGAGTTTCGTTAGAGTTACAACTTACAAAATATTATGTAATTTATATTAAATGTACATTGGAAGGTAAGAGTCATTAATATAAATTAAATCATGCGATTCAATGTTGATTTAAAACTGATTTCGCGATGAAAATGCACGAAGACCTAGTCCAATGTAGCGGGTCATGTTGTCGTCGATCGGATTGAATCTCAGTCTACATGTTCAGCGATCGTTTCAACGTTTATTGTTGAAATCTTCTCACCTCCGGTTATCAGATCGATGCTCCGGCATCCACTAAACTCTGATTGATATTTATCTGATAAAATATTTGTATTTTCATGATGAATTCGTGCAAGATTTGTTCCTGAAAAGTCCCGGTGAAAAGTGTACTTGTTTTTGACCGTGCATAATAATGAGCTACCGTCGTTGATTGGTCAAATTTTACCGACATAAACATTGGGTCGGTAAAGCACGTGGCTTTCTCTTGAGTACAAGGCGGTCATAATAGAAATCAAGATAAATAAAAGAGACCGACTTGGGCAAGACTAGACAAAACTGTCAAATAAAAAACTGTGTGCTTTAATGAAAGTTAAACTCGGAACACCAGCCATTGATCAATTCAGTCCTAACAATTCCATTGATCATTGGAGGAAAGTGTGTAAGAGAAGGGAGAGACTTGGTCTGACAAGAATGAAAATGAAGGACAGGGATATGGGTGGGACAGGTACTGATGTGAATGATAGTGTACCAGAGGAAAGGGAAGATGACAGTGTGAAACTGGATGAAGGTAAGGATGCTTGTGTGATTGATTCTGAGGATGAGAATGTGAATGTGGGTGCAAATGTGAATGTTGAGAATGATGTAGTGGATGATGAGTCAGAGGACGAGGGATTTGAATCTGAGTGTGACATGTCCGAAGAACAAGTCATTGACAAACTTAAACTCATAATGAAAAATATGTAACACTAAAACATGTACAACATGTATAGGCCTAATGCATGAAATAAAGTTCTACAGTTATTAATTTGACTTTTAGTATTAATTAATATGTATTTTTATATACTGCAAGATGAATGATTTATTCCCTCCCCCCTGGAGTATGTATTTCATTTAATTTTTTAAACTGACTGGTCAAAATTTTGACCAGTCAAAGAAAAATTTGTCCAGAGTGTTTTAAAGTGACTGGACAAATTTGTCCAGACACCAAAAATGCTTATTTCCCACACTGGACATGACAGCCAGTTCTTCCAGTTGAAACCAATGCAGGACTTTATCACAGGTAAGATTTAAGTTAAACATAAAGTATATAGAAGTGTTTGTCATTTTGTGACATGACAGCCAGTTCTTCCAGTTGAAACCAATGCAGGACTTTATCACAGGTAAGATTTGAGTTAAACATAAAGTATATAGAAGTGTTTGTCATTTTGTGATATGACAGCCAGTTCTTCCAGTTGAAACCAATGCAGGGCTTTATCACAGGTAAGATTTGATGGACATGAAGTATATAACAAGAGTTTGTCATTCTGTTTCTCAGACCATCTCTGCATTTTGCGACATGTTATACATTAGGCTTCAGATGTTTCATTGGGAAAAATACATCAGAAAAAATAATTGGAAATTGTGATTTCAGCAGGTGCAAAATTCATCAATACGACAGGCTATTTTGCTAAAATATTTTGTGAAAATTGATTGTCTTTTTATTTCTAGGAGAACAAGCTCGAAATTTCTTTCTCCAGTCCGGTCTTCCACCACCAGTCCTAGGCCAAATATGGTATGTACTAGAACCTGACTATATATGACAATTCATTTTTATACAAAAGAAAGTTGTACTAAAAATGTGACCCAATTTCCCACCAACTAGACTGAGTTAATTCATGGCTAATTTATTTGTCAAGATACAAATACACTCTTTTAAGAAGAAAGCTAACAATAAGATTGTATTTTACACAAAAAGAAAATTTTTGAAACCATTTTATAATTGATAATACAAATGTATTTTAAATGTATTTGTAATGTGACTTAGTAAATAATTAATAACAATGAAAAAGAGGAAACAAGCGAGTGATTCTATATTCACTTCTCACAGGGGCCTAGCAGACCTAAACGCTGATGGCAAGATGGACAAGAAAGAATTCTCCATTGCTATGTCACTCATCAAGAAGAAACTGCAAGGGTTCCAGCTGCCCAAGACCCTACCAGCCTCAATGACCATGGATCCAGTCACTTCAGTTGGGGGTGGGGGATTTCCTGCACAGCCAATGGGTAAGACTGAGAGAGTGAATATAGAAACTGCCAACCAGTTTTTATGTCACCACCACATTGTTATAACAGATGTCATTAACGCCAAAAATTTTAATCTTGGGATGAAAAAAATATCTGACTTACCACGTACCAAGGGACGCAGATTTAAATTTTTGGTTTTTGCATTTTCTTCCATATTCCTCCAACTTTTTTGTGGATGGTGTTCTGCTATTGGCAGTCAGTGTTCTGCATCTGTAACAAATGGCAGGTGGTGACATTGTGCATGTTAATGCCTTGTTTTATTTGGAAAAACAGTCAAATGAAAAAATGAACATGCACAATTTCATATTTGCTAACTCTATGATATGTACAATAATACACTAAGTTTATGTTGTCATTTAGAGCCAAGTTGAACTTGTTTTTTACTTCTGGTAATTAAGGACCGTGTTTATTTACAGAATGTTTTCAATAATTGGTTTAAGAGAAAAACATTGTTGAATTATTTTTGTAAGAAATGAGGTCACTTAGAATATGTCAATATTTTTTGCCAGAATATTACGTGTTTTTATACAGAACTTTGAGTTTGACTCAACATAGAAATTTAATATTTATTACAATTTTGTGACCTTAAGGACTATTGTCTACAGCCAAATTGGTTTATTCAGGGTTTGTAATCTTAACTATTTTCCTCATACCTTTATCATCAATTTATCAAGTTATGGCCATAAAGGGGACCAACCATATTATAGCACATTTGTATTTTTTAAGTCCATGCTAACTTAACCTCCTTACAATAAGACATTATTTCATTTCAGGCATGGCTGGTGGTTTCCCAGCAGCCCAACCACAGCAGAGGATGATGGGAATGCCCAATGGAGGTGCTATGATGGGTGCAGGGATGCCAGGCGTGATGGGTACTGGAACCTTGCCCGGAGGATTTGGATCCCCAACCAAAATGGCAGCAGGGCATACCGGGACATTTCCACTAGATCAGAGGTAAAGATTATGTAAAATATAATCAAGATTTTTACTTGTGGTGTTTTACATATTATTGTGTGATGTTTCTCATTTTTTGACCATAGATCTTTTCTGTATAATTTAAGTTGCAAACTCCTTTCACCATTTATTCTTTGCTTAATCCTTTCTCACACTTTATTTTATGGTCAGCATCTGTAGCAAATAGTGGTCAATTAGCAGGTGGTGACATTTTGCAATTTACATGTTAATGCCTTTTTTTTAAATAATTCTAATAACCTGTCTTTTAATCATTTTTTCAATATTGCAGGAGTAGATCAGGCTCAGGAAGTGGAGATTGGGCAATCCCCCAGCAGATGAAGCTAAAATACAATCAGTCATTTAACCAGTACGATCGTATGCGTCGAGGATTTCTACTAGGTGCTGAGGCACGGGGAATATTAATGCAAACTCAACTACCACAACAAGTTCTTGCCCAAGTTTGGCAATTATCAGACATTGATAAAGATGGGAAGTTGACATCTGAGGAGTTTTGTCTTGCTATGCATTTAATAGACATGGCGAAAAGTGGTCAGCAGTTACCGTTGAAATTACCACCCGACCTTATTCCGCCATCTTATAGGTACGAATGTTTCAATGTATAGTTTCTGTAACTGGGTTTAATTAAGTGGATGTTCATATATTTGATACTCTCACATAAAAAAGTCAATTAACTGTTCATCAGAACTAGAAGTTTAGTTTGGATTTAAAAAAAGGCTAAATTATTTCTATCAGTTTGATGTGCCCATTTTATTTTCAGACGTGGCCGGGCTGGAAGTGGAATAAACATGGCTGCCCCTCAAGCTGGTGCTGTGCCGGGATTAGCAGCAGCTCCACCTGGTGGTGCCCCAGCACAACCAGCAGCTCCATCAGGTACCTTCACATTTAATGCATATTTTCCTCCGCTAACATTTTGCCCAGACAAATAAACGGTATTTTCCACAGGAAGTGGTGTCTTTGGTGAAAAATTAACCTCAATTTTCTATTACTCAAATCTCAGGTTGCACATGGCTAGTGCCATCTCAAAACTTCATCACATGGGAGGTAATTATTACGTGAAACCTGTTTAAAGTGAATACTGCTTTGTGCCACTAAAAATGATCACAATGAGGTGTTCACTTAAGAGCTGTTCATGTACACACAAAAGGTTATACCGTATACAGATTATTACTAATATTGCAAATGACAATACTAGTCCTACTTCAAGACCCTACCACCCCCTTCCTTCCCTGTGAGAGAGGAAATATAGTGGGGGGATAATTTACAGGGTATTGATGCAGGACTATAATTTTTCAACTAAAATGCATGTAATGATCTTGAATTCCATCTGATTGCATGTCTCTTCACTATATTTTTACTAATTGGTATTTCGCAATGAAATTCACCCCAACTAATATGGGATTAGGTTTGGAAGGTATCATGGATATTTCTATGAACTTGGGTGTGTCTTGCTATATGTCGACTCGAAACTGATAACATAATTGAACTAAGAGAATATGTGATCTGATTGGTTTTGCCATGTTATGGCTTTATTTTTTGACATTTGGCATCTTTTCATTTTTCCCATAAAGTGCTTGTGAATAAATTTTTCTGTATTCTGAGACATGGGTTTCACAAGCAGCAGGCAACACTCAATTTTCTCATTTTGAAACTTTTGTTTCCTTGTTAAAGAACAGTACCATTTCTAGTGCCTTATAATACATATACAACTAAAATGATATCTTCCAAATGGGTCCTACTAGCTCCTCACTCTACTCTTTACTAGGTCAGCCAGATGCATTCAGTGGACTCTTAGGAGGGGGTTTCGGTGGGGCCAAGTTTGCCTCTATGGCTCCCCCTGAATTACCCCCACAACCAGCCACTTTGGAGGAAGAGGCAGCTGTACAAGTGTCAGGTAAGTGCCTAATATGGGCTCTGAGAGGGTCATGAACCATATTAGGGATCTGGGATAAAACCTCCTTTGAAATTTCTTTGACTTGAACAAACAGGTGGACAAAGTACCTAATATGGGCTCTGAGAGGGTCATGAACCATATTAGGGATCTGGGATAAAACCTCCTTTGAAATTTCTGTGTCTTGAACAAATAGGTGGACAAAGTACTTAATATGGGCTCTGAGAGGGTCATGAACCATATTAGGGATCTGGGATAAAACCTCCTTTGAAATTTCTGTGTCTTGAACATATAGGAAGACAAAGTACCTAATGTGGGTTCTGAGAGAGTCATGGACCATTATTAGGAATTTCCGATAAAACCTTTGAAATTCTGTGACTCAGACAAATAGGTGAACAAAGTGCTTATAATATGGGCTCCTCAAATGGATCATGGATCATATTAGGGAATCTCCTTTGAAATTCTGTGACTTGGATAAATAGATGAATAAAGTACCTATTATGGGGTCTGAGAGGATCATGGATGGAAACAGGGATTCCAGAGGCATATCGGTGAAAATATTCGAGGAATGTCACTAAATGTCATAGGATATTTGTATGATCAATTGTATATTAACCGACCTCTATTTGATATTGTATTTTTGAAAGCAGACTTAATCTCAAGCTTAAAAAGAAATAGAGACAATACGGACTCTTATAAGCTTTGCATGTATTTACCAACTTTAGTAGACTGGTTGCTTAGCGACGAAACGATGAGAACAGAAAAATACTAGGAGGTCAGTTATGACCAAATAAAGTAGGACAAAAGATGCTATCGACTATATAAACTGGATAAAACAACGCATAGACAGCTATAGAAGACTTTTAAACAAAATTCAGACGAAATCTAAACAGCAAACGAACGAAATAAGACGGTAAAGTGACCCGGGAGAAAATGACAATCAAACCGGAAGTAGTCGATTGTTTGTAAACATCCGGTTACTGGAAAAATCCAAACAAACAATCTATCCCAGAAACTGCGTGCAACAAATGGAAGAAACAAAACAAACAAGCTTGGATAATTACATAAAACGAAAAAGAAATCAGATTGAAGACGAGGAGTACACAGACGCAATTCAAGAACTGAAACCCAAGGAAAAACGAGAGAAAAAAGAAATGCCAGCCTTGACAAAGGAAGATTTTCTGACCATTTTCCCGGACCTGTTCCAGGCAAATTTTAAAAAAGTTATACAACAAGAAGACTTTCAGGACACGCTCAAGACAGCTTTAAAGCCACTCCTAAAGGAACAAGAAGCCAAAATAACACAACTAGACACAGAAATCACTAAAACAAACGATAAGGTGATCGATCTCGAAAAACAATTGCAATACGAACAAAACCAAAGACTCTCTCTACAACTCAGAATTATTGGACTCCCTGATGAACACAAAGAAAACCTAGCAAACAAGTTAGTTATGTTCGCAGCAAAGAAACTAGACCACAAACTTGACATAACAGATTTTACAATATACAGAAATGGGACGTATACAAGCGGAAAAGACAGACCAACCACAGTAAGATTCAACAACATGGCAGACAGAATATCTTTTTTCAAATGCCGAGAAAAACTTTACAAGCAAAAAGAAAAGATCTACATTAACGAAGAACTACCACCAAAACTGGCAAAAATCATGGCGGAGGGAAGAAAAATGAAGAAAGAAAACAAATTACACAAAATCTGGTCGTACAGAGGCAGCGTATTTGTTAAAAGTAAAGAAAGCGACGAACCACGGGAAGTTACAGACCTTACAAAGCTGGGCCTATAGCTAGTCTACCATGTCAGGGACCCTTTTTCGATTCACAATGCTATATTTTCCGTATTTTTTCTAATCAACTTTCGAACATACCAAGTTATGCTTACATCGCCACTCGCCAGCCCATGCTCAATAATTCCAATCTTTCACGTAATTTAACTCAGACCAAACGTACTTTTCCGATCACAGTTAGAGTTTTTCAAAGAAATCCATTTTCAAGAATCTAGCGTGCGATGGTAACAATCTCGACTTTAAAAAAAACAACTCCAAAGCGCTTTTAAATGGGATACCCGGCATGGACTTGCACGTGGCGATAATATGACGATAATATGACGTCTATGATAATGAAACCAAAAATAATATCTTAGTAGTAAAACAAAATATGAGGTCCACATATATCTAAAGTTGATCTAAGCCTAGAAAACGCCGGAGTACACAAACGCGAACTTTAAAAAAAAATTAATTAAGAACTACTATCCTTAAATAGACGTCCGAAATATTTGGGTCAAACGGTCTATCTAGTATCATTTTCAGCATTCTCATGCATTTTTTCTATACTTTTTTAGAAACCATTAAGGTTTCAATGTTTCACAAAAAACAAAAAACAGATCAATATATTATGTTAAAAGGGGGCCAAAAGCATTTGAAAAATAAGCCAGCGCATCAATTAGGATAGGCACAATAAATGTGAGAGGTCTTCAGAATGATATCAAAAGGAAAAAACTATTTTTATATGCAAAAGAAAATTATGATGTAGCTTTCTTGCAAGAGACACACAGTGGGAAAGACCATATACTCAGATGGAAAGACGAAGCTGACATGGAAGCTTTCTTCTCAGACTACTCTACAACGTCAGCTGGCGTTGGCATCCTCATCTCACCAAGAGCGGAAATAAAGATTGAAAACTCAGAAATAGACAAAGAGGGAAGGTTCATCATCTTACAATGCAAAATACAAGACATCCCTATAACACTTGTAAACATATATGGACATAACAACGACACTGCGAATAACGCACTTTTTGAGAAACTTCACAAAAAACTAATGGAACAACCAAATTACAAACTAATACTCGGTGGCGATTTTAATGTAACAATAAACCCAATATTAGACAAGATTGGAGGCCAAGAGCGAGAGACTCAAATAAAAACAAGGAAGAGAATTAAGGACATCGCAGAAGAACAAGACTTGTGTGACATATGGAGACAACGAAACAAGGACAAAAAAGAATTTACATGGGAAAACCCAGCGGAAACTATAAAATCAAGACTTGATTACTTTCTAATCTCAAACCACTTAAACTCGGCGGTTGAAAAAATTAAAATTGACAAATGTCCACCAATCAAGATAACAGATCACCACATTGTCGAAATGAATATACGTCTCTCAGACAATAAAAGAGGCCCGGGACTGTGGAAATTCAACAACCGTATGCTATCTGACAAAGACTATTTAACACATATCAAAACTATAATAAGACAAACATCAGAGGAAAACAAAGCCATGGACCCGCAACAATTATGGGAATACATAAAGTACATTATAAAAACAGAAACAATGAAATTCTCAAGAGAGAAGAAAAAAAGAACAGACGCCTACATAATAAAAAAAATCAAAAACCTGCAAGAATTGCAAAGAAAGATAGATGATAGCCCACAAAACTTAAAACAAGAGCTGACAAGAGAAAGAAACACAATCCAAGAAGAATTGGACCAGATAAAAGAAGAGAAGGCAAAAGGAGCCATACTGAGGTCAAAAGTAAGATGGAACGAAGAAGGAGAACGACACAGTAGCTACTTCCTAAAATTAGAGAAAAGAAACTATGCTAATAAAACCATGACAAAGTTAATGACAGAAGAGAACAAAACAATAACAAGCCAAAAGGATATAGCTACGGAGCAAGTGAAATTTTATAAAAAACTATATACTTCACAAAAACCTAACTTCACTGAGGACGCCAGAAATAAGTTCTTTCCCAAGGAAAAATCAATAAAATCTCTAGATATAGACATGAAAAACAAATGTGAAGGGAAAATAACAGAAACAGAGATAAAGGACCAAATCAAAAATCTCAAAAGAAATAAGTCACCGGGGTCAGATGGCCTCACAAATGAATTTTACAAAGCCCTGGTAGATGAAGTAATAACCTTACTTGTAAACAGCTTAAATACAGCATATCAAAACGGGGAATTATCAAACGAACAAAGAAGAGGTATCATAACCCTCCTTCCAAAGAAGGACAGAGATCATAAACAGCTAAAAAATTGGAGGCCAATCTCCTTACTAAACTCCGACTACAAAATAGCCACAAAATGTATAGCAGAAAGGATCAAGCAAACTTTAAAACACATCATACAAGAAGACCAAACTGGGTTTATAAAAGGACGATACATAGGGGAAAACATCCGCTTAATCATAGACACAATGGAACACCTAAAGAAGACAAACCAACCTGGGATACTAGCTTTCATTGACTTTGAAAAAGCCTTCGATACTCTAGAATGGTCTTTTATAGAAAAAACACTTTCATACTTTGGATTTGGCCCCTCAATAATAAAATGGATTCAAACTTTTTACAAATCAATAGAAAGTTGCATCATGAACAATGGCTACTCATCAAACTACTTTTCTCTAGAAAGAGGAGTGAGGCAAGGGTGCCCACTTAGCCCTTACCTTTTCACAATTTGTGTTGAAATTCTAGGAACAAATATTCGCGTTAACAAGGACATAGAAGGAGTGAACATACCAGGAGAACAAGCAAAGATATCGCAATATGCGGATGACACATGCCTCTTGCTAAAAAACACCCAATCACTAAAAAAGCACTAGATATCTTTAAAACTTTCGGAGCTTGTTCCGGACTTAACATCAATGTCACCAAAACAGAAATAGCAACAATTGGAAGCAACGTAGATCAAGACAAAACGGAAGAAGACTGTCACACCTTGAATCTTGCCATCAAGAGAGATGAAATAAATGTTCTGGGAATTACTATACCGCTGGACGGGAGAGATATTAACGATCTGAATTTTCCAAAAGCCATTCTGAGAATAAATAACATTATAAAAAGTTGGACCCCAAGGAACATAACCATTATAGGAAAGATAGCTGTTACAAAGGCCCTGCTTATTGCACAGATTACATACATGTCCTCCATACTCAACCCACCAGAAAACACTATCAAGGAAATTGAAGATATCCTCTTTAAATTCATTTGGAGCAATAAACCAGACAAAATTAAAAGAAGGGTCCTTATGAACTCATATGAAGAGGGAGGCCTCGAAATGATTCATATTAAAACATATATACGCAACTTAAACCTTAAATGAATCAAGAAACTAATGGATGAAAACTGTAAAGGGAAATGGAAAAACATATGGAAAAATTATATCAAGAACTTAAATGAAGAAAAAATATGGGAGTATAATCTCAAAGAAGACAACAAAGAGATAAATAGGCTCCAACTGAATTCCTTAATGCACTGCTACAAAAACTGGTGTAACCTAAAGTTTGAATCAACAAGACAAATAAAATGCCCCAAAGAATCCAACATATGGAACAATGACTGTATAAAATCAGGTGGACAGGTGATGAATTTCAAAACATGGCAAGAACATGGTATTCACACCATTCAAGATATATTCGATAAAGATAAACCAATGTCAAGAGAACAGATCATCAGAAAGTACAACTTTCAAACCATATGTTTTCTGGATGTCATAAAAGTGACATCAGCAATACCAAAAGAATGGAAAGATCAAATGAAGGACAAAAGTACACAAGACTCGGAGCCAAGCATTAAGGAATGGTTCACAAAGTCACCAAACAAGATGACATACAAATACCTACTAAAAAAGAACAATATACTAAACCCAGCAATAACGACACAGGAGAAGTGGGAAGAAAAGCTACAAAACCGGAATATAACCTGGAAAAAAATATACCTAAACACAAGGAAACTAACAGTTAACATCAGACATATTTGTTTCCAATACAAGCTCATATCGAGAATCATATACTTCAACAAAGGCTTATTTGAAATGAAGATACCCAACGTATCTTCCCCAATCTGCGATCTGTGTAAGGAGGAACTGGACACGATAGAACATGGATTATATGACTGCGTAGTTGTAAAAGAATTCCTAAAACAATGCAGCAGTATATTGAAAGAAGATATCCCGAAACGAGATAGTTTTCTTCTTGGAACAAACAGCCAACCTGAAGACATCTTACTGCACCTGAAACAAAAAACATATATCTACAAGTGTAAAATGAAAAAGAACCGCCCCAACATGACAGAATGGAGAAACTATGCAACAAATGATGAACTTATAGAAAGTACATGCGCAAAAAATAAAACACATGACATTCTATGGACAAAACTCAGGATGTATACAAAAAAATGAAGAAAACTGAAGACCACTCACATTTTAAGCTATTTTTATTTTTCATATAATACTGGTGCCCCCGTACCATTCATAATCAATAAGTATTATGTATTTATATAAGTGACTAAGAAATCAAATATACTGTAAACAAAATGTTTTACTGTGAATAAATAAATATATTAAAAAAAAAAAAAAAAAAAAAAAAATTTAGTAGACAAGAATTCGAAAATGAAAGCATGTGGTCATGATTAGAAGGTGGTTTGTGCATGGTTCTCCTTTGGGTCACTACTTATTAGAAAGAATGCCCTTGTTACAGTGTAAATATGAAAGTGTATGAAGCATGTGGCATGTTCTCTAATGTGAGAAATAAATATTACCAACTTAAATGTAAGGCAGTTGGAGAAAATCTGGAGAAAGTATTTGGTACCAAGGAGCCAATATTACTTTTCGTATATTAAGGATTGAGTTGATATTTGTGGAATGTGAAGATTTGGCTTTATTCATTAGTTGTGGTCAAACCTATCACATCAGTTATCTACTGTTGAACTAGACCTAATCCATCTTGATTCAGTTAATGTCAAAGAGTTTTCACATTACACTCCAGAAAGTTATGAAAGCATCTAATAAATTCAAAACAAAAACACACAAGAAGTGATCTAAATATATAACCTAGGCCAAATATGATTGTCTGACTAATGGTTCATACATAAACAGACTTAAGAGTAACTAGCTTCAGAATGATTATAAACCAACAACTATTGCATTATTTGCAGCCGTAACATTTGAAGACAAACGTAAAGAGAACTTTGACAAAGGTGCTTATGAGCTAGAGAGACGTCGTCAAATATTAGCTGACCAACAGAGGAAGGAAAAGGAAGCCAGAATGGCTAAGGAACGAGAAGGTAGTGTAAAACTCCATCTATTAAAAGTTTGTTGAGTCATTGAGACACAAATATCCATTTTCTTTGAACACCCAAACATGATGAATGACAAACTACATAAAATAACAGGGAAATATGAGAAAATCCCTCAAAATCTTGGGGTACACCCCAAAAATGCAATCTGATTTTCGACGCCGTTTCGGTGCCAAATGGACTGAATAGTCCAGTGGCAAATTTTGGTGTCGAAAAGTTTCGGTGCCAGAACGGTGTCGAAACGGTGGAGGAACAGCGCCGGATGTTTTCGATGCCGAAACGGCGCCGAATTATATTGGCTGTGTATACAACTTGATTGCTTTACCAGATTATTCCTAAATGCATTGATTGAATTTGTTTTTGCCAACAGAACAAGAGAAACGTGAACGCATACGTCAAGAACAGGAACGTAAAAAACAAGCTGAGTTAGAAAAACAGATGCAACGCCAGCGACAGATTGAAGAAGAGAGGGAGGGACAGAGGAGGAAGTTAATGGAACAGCGGGAGGTAAATGGAACAGCCTTTATAATTATATATAAGCTTATGTTTCACGAATATATTTCCTGGAATCAGTTGTAGCCTTAAGTATGATCAAAATAGAACAACATACAGTAAAAAGGTAAGGTCTTATCTGAACACCAGAATGGGAATGGTTTTTCTGTTCCATTTTTATTTGCCATAGATTGTCATGTTAAAAAAACCTTGAAATCCAAACATTCTTGACTGGTCCCAGTGATTTTCAGATTAGTCACATTTTACTGGATAAAATATTCACTTATATAAATCATATTCTATTGTATTGGTATATATAGATGAATTCGCACGCCATGCAGAAAGGACCAGTTTCATTCATCAATGATAGGTGGAATTTATGATCTTTTTTCCAGTCTGCAAGACGTGAAATGGAACGTCAGAGACAGCTTGAATGGGAAAGACAGCGGAAGGAACAATTGATGGCAGAGAAAAAGAAAATCATGGAACAAGTTGAACAATTAAAACTAGATAATGGCAAACAAAAATATGAAATCGAAACTTTAGTAAGTACAAAAATGCACATTTTAGATGAATAACTGCTCTCTTTGTACTAAACTTGAAACTTGTAAAGATTGTACTATTTGACACACCTTCATCAAGTGAATATAGTACTAATGAAAAATCACTAAAAAAGGATACAAAATGGCAAAGATAGACTCAAAGGTCCAGGAATTCCTGAGCACCCCTCATATAGCATAATATGGAAGATTTATTTTTAAAATGTTGGTTTATTTTATAGGACAATAAGAAAAATGACCTTAAGATGAAAATAGGGCAAGCACGAAATGGAGTTAGTGATGTCACAGCCAAGATTGAGATGATGCGACAATCACGAGATATAAAACTTGCAGAAATTGAAACAGCGCAGAAAAAACTGTTGGTAAGTTCTATGAAAATACACCTATACATGATATACCAATACACCTAAAAGGATTTGAGCTTACAAATACAAAGTCTAGGAAACAACTCATACGTGGATTAAATCATCCACAATTCATGGAGACATGTGCTTAGAAGTATAAGGCAGTGGTGTTCATTTGATGGAAATTGATGGAAATGACACATGACAAACTTCTGCACATGTGCATTGACCTACATTTTTCCTTCCTAGAAACCAAAATTGTTTACATCTAATCAAAACATAAATGTAGAGTTACCTCATTAATAAAAGACTAACTCCCATATAAAAAACACAAAACCAATTATTTTATATTAATTATTATTAGTATTTGTTCAGCTAAAAAACATACTATGACAACGGGAAATTGGTTTGATGTTGGTGATAATTTAACAAACCATTATAAAATATTTACACCTTATGTATGTTCTAGGATAATCAACAAAAGATTGCCACAATGCAGAAAGACAGAGAAAAGTTGAATGTTCAGGTGGAGACACAGAATGACACAATTGGTGAGTGAAGCTGAATTATAAATTGTCTTTTAATCTACTTTTTATCAAGTTTTCCGCAACCAAAATGGCTTGAGCTGGAATATAGGATTGGGGAAGGGGTCAGAGAGAGATCTGACACGAGACTAAATTTCCATTGACTTCACTTTAAGTGAGAATTAATATAAAAAGGTATGTTGGGGTTGGAAATGTATGACGACAATTTTGGTCCCTGGGGATTGGGGAAGAGATCAGACAGAGATTTGACACAAGACTTAATTTCCATTGGTGAAAACTTCACTAAGTGAGAAGTTATATAGAAGAGCATGATGCATGGTGAATCAATCGAACTGAATCACTGAAGCATGGTGGTTTCTGCATTTTCCTCATCTTCAATTGAAACCTTCAATCCATCATTTACCTGCTATTTATGTATATCATGTTTGACACGTTATATTGCATGTATACTGTTATTCTATAGATCGTGGGCATGATATCAAGAAAAGCCTGACAGGTTGGTTTAAGCTATGAACCCTTAACCCCTGGCTTCACTTATTCATAAAGAATATATGCTTTTAATATCGTTGACTGATCATGGTGTATATCAATTGCTATATTAAGGCTATGTTAATTGGAAAGAGTCTGAATAATTGATGAAGCTTCTCCTTCTGGAGGCAATATGATAATTCCATGATGACTACTTTGTGATGTTTTAATTTATCTACTCTGTGACATATAAGAAAACCATTGTTGATTTGATGGTACTCAGATAAAACTCCTTTAGTTTGATATTATCCCTTGATTATTATGATATTTTGGTAGATATAATGAATGCTATTTCTATTTAAGTTGTATATTGCTGAGCTAATCATGCTATTGCTTCCAGTATGCTAAAAATATATTCCAGTACTTTATTTAGTTGCAAGAAATTATCGCAAGAAATTACCAAGGTCAACCATTTTATACATAGAAATATCCTGGATGTATTTATATATGTGGCAGAATAGCTCTCCGCTTGCTTACTCATATATGTATATTATACTTGCTTCTTCTACTTAATGTATGTGAATACTGGTATATAGGTTATCATAGAATGGATTAAAACGTACATGATTTTATCGAGGCATTATCGCTCATGAACAGTCAAAAATAGCTTGATTCAATGAATATGTTATTTTTATTGGTTTGTAACCCCGTTGACTGATGCTCTCCATAGAGCGTTTAACTCCATTGTTAAATAATCATTTGGTAGCCAAAAGGAGACTCTAAAGCAAAACACAAAATTGCCAATATTTTAAGTTTTCTTGGACTGATCTAAACATTTATGAAATATGTTGCAATGTATGATAATGCACACAAAAGTCTGACATTTGAACCTTTTTAACTTTTTATGTTACATTGTCCCTTTAAATATTAATTCATTCACTTTATCATTTGTGCTATCCAGGAGAAACACACAGGACAATACTACACAGTCACTCTAGTAAACAGTCCAGTATACAGAGGCTAAAACACCAATTAGATGACATTGAGAAGCTCACTGCAACTGAATTAGCCAAAGTAGATGAAAACAATACAGTATTATCAGTAAGTATATAACATATATTTTGGCTTGCGATTCAAAGGGAATGCTGACAGATTTTTATCACATTTTTTAAAGTGTTATTCTGTTGTTGTTTTGTGCTGTTGTGCTTTTGGGTAAGTGAGTGAATAGGTGGGCCCCACATAAATCTAAGTCGTCAAAATTTCAAGAAAATTGCTTACCTGTTCAGCTTACTTGTTTTACAGATGCAAGAGAAGTGCCAAGATCTGATTAGGGTTCTCTTCCTTGTAGCAATAGATGCATATTAGACAGGAGAGGGGGTCTCCTTCTTATAGATTATCTTACTTTATTTTATAGTCAAATGAAACATATTCTGTATTTCACCAGGAAATAAATAGCAAAGTGAATGAACTGCAAAGCTCTACCAAAGTGATGGAGTCGCAACGTCAGCAGAAGATGGAGGAATGGAAGTCATTCAAAGAGAAGAAAGCCCAGAACAAAACCTCAGTTGATCTGCTAGGTGGAGACCTAGGGACAACAACCATAAGGTGAGGAGAAATATTAAATGAAACCAGTTATTGGATTACGTTCGTCCGTCCGTTCTTCCGTCCGTTCTTCCGTCCGTCCATTCGTCCGTCCGTCCGTTCGTGTGTCCGGGCAATAACTCAAATACCGGTTGACAGATTTCATTCAAATTTTATAGGCTTATGCCTTATGGGTGTAGGACCTCTGCTCGAGAAGGAATTTTCAATATGGCCGCTTAATTCAAAATGGCGTTTTTCGTAAAAAAACGTTATCTTTATTGCTAGGAGCTCTGCTCGAGAAAGGATTTTCAAGATGGCAGCTAAATTTCAAAATGGCGGCCATTTTTCGTAAAAAAACATTATCTTTGATAACTCAATTACCATTGAATGGATTTGGTTCAAATTTTACATGATGATGCCTATGGACACAGGAGCTCTGCTCGATAAGGGATTTTCAAGGTGGTAGCTTATTTTCAAAATGGCCGCCATTTTTCATAAAAGAACGTAACCTTTGATAACTCAAATACCAAATGACGGATTTGGTTCAAATTCTATATGCTGATGCCTAGAGACAAAGAAGTTCTGCTCAAAAATAAATTTTCAAGATGGCCACTGAATTTCAAAATGGCCACCATTTTTCGTAAAAAAACGTAATTAATGATAACTCAAATACCAGTGGATGGATTTGGTTCCAATTTTATATGCTGATGTTTAGGGAAAAAGGAGATCTGCTTCAGAAGAAATTTCAAAGGCGTTAGCTGAATTTCAAAATGGCTGCCATTTTTCATTAAAAAAGTAATCTTTTATAACCCAAATACTATTGGATGGACATTCTCTGCTAAAGAAGAAATCTAAAGATGACAGCTGAATTTCAAAATGGCAACCATGTTTTATAAAAACATAATCTTTGATAATTCAAATACCAATGGATGAATTTGGCTCAAATTTTTTATCAAAACATGTTTTGTTCGGTGGGATTTGCTACTCCGTGGAGTTGCTGTTTTTCTAGTAAAATTTGACTTTGTTATTCTGTTATAATTACAGTGCAACAACAACAGATAACACACAGAGCAGTCAACCTGTTACCAGTGATACAAGTAAGCAAATGTAGCACAAAAACAAAGGAAAATTTTGCCATTTGTTGAATCATTTGTTATTTCAATTTATTCTTTAGGTATGATAGAATTCAAGTTGGATAATTATGGATATCTTTGTGATGTGTTAAATGTTTACCAAGATTGAGGTAGATTTAGCCAATGTTAGTGCTTATGGTATATATTTTAGTTCACTTTCAATTGTCAGATATCTAAAATGAATGTTTAGTAGCCTTTTAGAATTAGATATGTTGTTTGTAGTTATTGTTTCATTGTAAATTAGAGTGGCAAACATGAGCGTTTTATACTAAACAAGTTATCACTTTGTAAACCCATTATACCATATTTGGATTTTTTACTTACATACGTTTTATGGAAACCACCTTGAAGTGTGTCTTGTTTTGCATGTTTTATGCTAATAGAACTGAGATGTGAAATTTGTTTTTGGTATTTTGATTAATTTTATTTATTTTACTTGAATGTCACTACCAAGAAGTTACAAGCCAATATTTTTAGGTAACAACAGCATCATTTCACATCTCACTTGAATGTTGTATTATAATAGCTTAGTTAGCACCCAATCATGATTAACTTTGCAGATAAAAAGAAGGAACCGGATTGGTCAAATTTATTTGGTGATTTTGCCAACCCTAGCGCTGGTTCAACGTCCTCAGCAAAAACTAACGACCAATGGTCGAGTCTATTTAATAGTAGTGCCAATTCAACGTCATCAACAACCATCCCCTCGGTTACAACAACAGTGACACCAGCCACGGAAAATAGCGCTAGTAATGACTTATGGGGACTTAGTTCAACATCAAATATTAGTTCAACGAGTGCATCATCGGATAGTAAATCTCAGGATATGTGGGGGTCTACGACTTTTGGATCAGCTGGCTTTGGGAGCTCTCAGGCTACTTCTACACCCACATCTTCTAGTCAAGCTAAAGGTAGCCATTTATTTCAGGTGGTGGTTCAGGATGGACCTATCTTTACATTTCTCTTTACCCTTAATGTTATTTATTGTATTACTGGGAATATATTGAGATAACTATTTGGAATGATGAATGTTTGAGAAAAATGACCTTGATCCATGCATTTAGAGAGGATAGAGGGGTATGTAAGTTTCAAAATATTGTCACAATTTACAATATTTTTGCTCTCATCATTCCATTGCCTGGCTTTTTTATTAAATATAAAAATTCAATTTTTGATTTTATAACAGGACAATCCTTCTAATGTAAAGGTTCAATTGTCATTTCAGTTCTCATGAATTTGAACATTACTCTATCCTGTATCTTTAAATACTTCTATATTTGATTTAAGATATCTCAATTCTTATTCAGAATCAAATTGAAATTACAGTATAAGGAAAATGTTTGCATGCTTTCTGAATGTTTTCCACTCTATCCTTCCAATTCCTTCTAGTTCATAAAAATCAAAAAATGTGGTGCATGGAATCGAGAATGGATGCAAAAATGGCAGAAGTTGCTGAAACATCATACATCTAAATCAGGAAAAACAACTGAATTAAAATAAATTATATATTGTACATGATCTATTGTCTTAGTCACATAAAAAATATATGTTGTGCAGATTTTCTTTTTAAAAATTGATGCATGTTGTGATTGAGTGTTGTTCGCATGATTTTACTTGAGAAATGTTTATATTGACTTCCTTGCTTTTGAGAATCATTATAGAAATTTTTCAATAACATTATCATGCTCAAAATTAAATCATAGTTACACAGTTACACAGCAGGTTTTATTGTTTTGTCACGGAGCATTTTGACAAAAAATTGTTTTTGAGGTGATACAACGCCACACAATTCTTTGTCAAAATTCTTCATATTAATCAATTTAACCTTGCTTTGTAACTGGAACCTATGCAGAGTAGGATCTACTGTTATTCAGAGAGCAAACTTTCACATCATGTATGTAGCTTTCATATTTTTTTTCAGCCACCACTGAGCCAAGTCAGGCAGGTCTAGTGAAATATAAAGCTGTATATCAGTTTGATGCGAGAAATCCAGATGAACTTTCCCTCATTGTTGGTGACATAGTTTGGGTAAGTTGAAAAGTTAATTCTGTTCTCTCTGTTTAAAAAAACAAATAACATAGACTCTAGTCATGCTTTTGACCTCCAATAGATTGGTTAGTTTTTCCATCCTATTGAATGAAGTTTGGGGGAAATAGAAAATGCCTGTTCATCCGTCCATCCATACGTCAGTCTATCCATCCAATTGAGCAATAAATCAGATACAAATTTCACTCCTCTGTTCATGATAGTGTTGTCGCGATTAATCAATACATCGGGATATACATCGCCAAAGCTGGTTCTGGCGATGCATCTATGTCTGAAACAAAACATCAATGTTTTTAAAAAATTTTGATTTGCTAAAAATCGCTCTTTCTTATCTTATTTTAACGCAAATTGCTTACCTTTTTTCATGTCTTATTTCATTTTCCAATGTTTTCTGATATTCTTTCGCTTTAAAACATTTTAGTTTTAGCTAGTCGAAATGAACCATTAATCTAAAAAAAATTACTTTACTTTCATTTCATTTCACCGTTACTAGAAGTTCCCGGATGTACCAGCGTACTCTTATTAATTTGTTCTGTTCGGTATTTTAGTGCATTAGCGTTCGGTATTTCAGTACACTTTTTTCGAACTTTTTCTCGATGTACATCGCGATGTGCATTGATGTTTACAACTGAAAATTGCTGATGCATCGATGTACGATTATAGCACATCGCGACAACACTACTTCATGACACCGCCTATAGAGTTGTACCTTTTGATTAACAGGTTGCAGAAGATCAGGCTGGAGCAGAACCAGGTTGGATGGGAGGAGAGAAAGATGGCGCCAAAGGATGGTTTCCCAAAGATTATGCTGAAAAAGTGCAAGAGGACTCTGTCGCTTCTAACGACTTATTTGCCAGTGATAGTTTTACAAAGACAGACAGTTTTGCAAAATCTGATAGTTTTGCTAAGTCAGACAGTTTTGCCAAATCAGACAGTTTTGCTAAGTCTGATAGTTTTGGAAAACAGGATTCATTTGGATCATCTTCAAATACAGCAGGCTCTTTTGGAAGTGAATTTTCTAAGTCTGTGTTTGATTCAGCAGCTCCAACAGCAACATCGCAACCCACAGAGTAAGTGGCTTTAACGTCAAGTACTCCACTTAAGTGGCTTTAACAAGGAAAGCCTATGGTTAAACATTGACAAACTCTACTTCTTTTCCCAACTAACTAACTCAGTTAACTCAAAAATGAATTTCGACAACTAATTTGAATAGTACTGTTCTCATTTTGGTTCTCAGTTGAAGCTAATCCCATATCCCATTTTTCCCATATTTCACTATAGATTATCTTAAATGTTGCATATTTCAGAGGTGATTCGAATGCTGGGCTATTAACTGCATCTGATAGTGTCTTCACGGCTGTCACCACTGTGGGGCCTTCCCCAACACCTGGTCAGGTAGGTCATGGGTGTATAGGGTTAGATACTCCAAGGAATTTAGAAGTGAGGCATTGTTGCTCATGTTTAAGGATATTATAATTGAAAAATGCTTCATTTAATTTTAAGAAATCTGAAATAGGACATTTAGAATTGAATAAACCCTGTAGTTCATATGCATTTTCAGTTCATATGGTGCTAAAAAGCAGCATGATTTCAGACAGTAAACCAAGAAATGCGTTTGGTCATTAGAGCAAGCCACATAATTTCAGTCAATAGAGTATTTTTGGTCATTAGAGCAAGTGGCATGATTTCAGTCACAGCGCAAGCTTCAATAGTTATAAGTCAATAGAGCATGCCAAGTAACTTCAGTCAGTGAGCAGGCCTCATTATTACAGTAAGTAGAGTAAGCAACATAATTTAGTTCAAGCGAGCTGAAAGAATTAATTGAATGTATTGAACTGTAGGGTCAGAGTGCTCCAGAGGGTCTGAAGGCGCAGGCGTTGTACCCCTGGATGGCTAAGAAAGATAACCACCTGACCTTTAACAAGGGGGATGTGATAACAGTCATTGAGCAGCAGGATATGTGGTGGTCTGGGGAGTTGGAGGGGAAGGTAAACTATAACACTTACTTAATTGACTTATTTAATTTATATAATAGATAGCTCTAACCTCGATCCTTTAGCAATGGATACTGTATAAGTGGTAATTTTGCCTAATCATTTAATTTGCCTATTTCCTAATTTTTGCCAGGTCGGAAAATTAAATGTCGGAAATATTGTCTTTATAATGTTATCCAATGGGAGGTTTCTTGTCATTAGGAAAATTAAAATCAGGAAAATAATGAAATTTGACCATTCGGAAAATTAACCACTTGGATTAAATACCACTTATACAGTATTTTTCATATTTATTCATTTTTAGTTTTACATTCGTTTTTAGTATGATTAAACTTATTTTTCAATTATTATCTACTAGGTTGGCTGGTTCCCAAAATCCTACGTGAAATTAATAGGTGGAGGTGGCAATTCAAGGAATAGTCAGGAAGTAGATGGCGCTACAACACTTGCACCATCAAATGTCCCAGATGACACTGTGGCTCCCTCTAGTGTTGAAGATAAAGTTGAACACTATATAGCAGTATATGCCTATTCTTCAAGTGAGTAATTTATGAGTCAAAAACTAAATCAAAATTAATTTTGAATTTCATAACATTTGAGGTTTTACTGTATTGGTAACAATGTGATTTTGTGATCAGTAACAAACAAAAAATGATTATCATGAAAAATGAATAAAAGGTTGTAATGCTCAATTAAAAAAGTTTTTTTCTGCTGCAGGCGAACCAGGGGACTTGAACTTCAATCAAGGTGACAAAATCGCAGTATCTAAGAAGGAAGATGATTGGTGGACAGGTTCCATCGGAGATCAGACTGGAATCTTCCCGGCCAATTACGTCAAAGCATTAGAAGTTCCATCCCAGGTGAGAGTCATTCTTTCATTGCTTCCCTCTAATAAAGATAAAGGAGACATAGTGTCTTGATTTTGAACATAGATATATTGACTTGAACATTGTGTTAAATTTTGCTTGCATGTAAAGTTAACCATTGCTCAAATAATTTCAAAAATTAGTCATTTTTGAATCATCATGGATAAGGTTGGCATTAGCGAAAAAAGAAAAAAGAAAACATTAAAGAGTACTTTCTGTTTTCATTTGAATGATTTCATTCTAATTTGATTCAGCCTCCAGTAGAAAAGCCACTTGAGAGTATCTATGACACTGTAAGACTGAAACGCAGTATTTTTGAAACTGAAAAAGGAGCTAATGACAATCTCTCTGATATTCAAAAAGATACTAGTGCCACAAGTATCTATGCAACTACTAGAAAAACTATTGATGAAGGGCCTAATATCTCTGAAATTCAAAATAACACAGTCAACCCTGGTCAAAAAATTGAGTCATTAGCTCCAGAAATTAAAAGGGAGATGAGTGCTAATGAAAAAACGAGTGTTTCTGATACTCCGAGAAAATCTAGCATTGGATCTCAGAGCTTGAGTCTATTCCGGAGAAAGGTATTTCAGTTGTTGGTGTGGTTTATTTTAAGTAGATAATTAAGATCGGGTATTGGTGTAAGTTGCAAGTCATCTTATCTGTAAGTTTGTGATCATATAGGATATTCGGGTAGCAGAGGGAGAGGTCCATGCTTGCAGTAATTCTATGCAAAGTCATTGTCCATGGATCTTTGCATAATGAGCATATTGTCACTTTATTTATACATTAACTATGCATTAATATGGTGACAAATAACATTATGTGCATCATATTAAAGTCTGAAAAACAATGAAGAAATTGTAAAATTTATCAAATCTTTTTATGTAATGCATAATCTTGGTTGTCATGACTTCATTAGAGAATTTGCAAAATGAAGTTAAAAAAAATATTTTTATTCAAATTTAAAATATGAGTGACATAGAAAGGTGAGCCAAGTAGGACACATTTTAAACATTTGTGATTGACTTTAGTTAATAAACTTAAAATCAATCTAAGTTACATATTATACATTCCACTTGGCCTCCTTTAACCGTCCCTTAGTACAGATGAATGGCCATCTGACAGAAATGTTTATGTATTCAATATGCTTTGCTTTGCTATTTAGGAGGGGCTAGCTTTCCCAACAGAATCAACAACAGGGGAAAATCTTGAGGTTGCTACGGCAACCAAGCAACAAGAGACCTTAGCAACAGACCTAGCAACCAGTCTTGCTGACACTTTATCACTGCCAACTTCAGATCAAGTAGGGAATATATTGCTTTTTGGTGTATTTGTATACTGTATTTAGTATAACTTTATCTAATTAAGGGATGGGTCAAAATCTTAAACCTCGAAAGAAGTTAAAAACATAGAACACCTAAGTGATGTTCGAGTGTAACATTATAACTCACTGTTAACATTTCATTGTAAAAGATGTTGGCTTAAACAGAAACATTGATGTTAAATGAATGTAACAATTCAATATGACACATCAATGTAACACAATGGGACATCTCAATGTGACACATCAATGAGACACCTCAATGTGACACCTCAAATCTCAAGATTTGATTCATTGTATGATATCTTGTGATAATGTAACACATATTTTCAAGTGTTAAGAATGAATCTGTTTCAAATTATTTTGATGTGATTGAGTGGAATCTGTATAATTTGTATATGTTCTTTAAGCACACCATCCCACCATGCAGGGAGTTGTTAGTTAGCCTTTTACTTGACACATTTAAATTGGACTTTTCAGCCATACCCCATTATGGTTCTCAATACTAATTTACGTTTTGTTTGTATTTTAGAAAAGTGGTGGGACTTTACCTAAAAAAGAGATAGCAACTGTGATAGCACCTTACACTGCCACAGGGGCAGAGCAGCTATCCTTAAGTCCTGGACAACTTATACACGTGCGCAAGAAAAGCCCAAGTGGCTGGTGGGAGGGTGAACTTACGGTGAGCTCACATTTTCAACGTCTTGATTGTTTCAATTCAACTCTGAATTTCATTTTTCTTTACTTGTAAATATAATCAATTCAAAAATTCTGAAGAAAGTCAAACTTTTCTAGATATGAGTTTTAATTAATTGATTGTTATTGAGAGGGGCTATTGATGTAATGATTAATTCATGCAACTATTGTTCAGTATAATTGTAGATAAATTAGTATTGTTAGAAACAAAGGGGCTGTTTAATATCTGTTACTGCCTTCATCATATTTATTCAGTTTCCTATAAATCTAAAGAAGCACTTACTTTCTTACCCGTTATGTAAAACCTGCACATTGTGTCACTGTAAAAAGTGCACGCTTTCCCCCTACCCATTTCCAGGCACGTGGTCAGAAAAAACAAATTGGTTGGTTTCCGGCAAACTATGTGAAAATTCTGCAGTCCAGCGCTCGTAATACACCTGTTGATCCCCACAAGTCTACTGCATCCCCATTTCAGCAATCCTCAAGCACGGTAAGTTGACACTTCCCTGTTATAAGATGTAAGCTGACACCACCCTTGTCAGGTTCATTTGTGAATCTGTTCTCTCTTTTCCCTGCCTCATACCATTACCACCATGTTTTCTGTCGGTCATTGTAAATGTGCAAAAACTTGTAAAATATAAAGTTCTGTCACATATACCTCAATACTTCTAAAGGATTTCTTGGGGAGAGTCGGTGAATATTTTGGCATTATAAAACCACTCTACTATACCTTGCATTTGGTGTTCATGAGCAACCCATTTGGCTTATTAGCATTGATTATATTATTTGGTTTTATGTGTCCGTTCCTTATAAATGGTTTATCGGATGACTGTTAGATATTAATAAGGTAATTTCAAAAATATACTAAACAATACAATTAGACAGAGTATCTTATGCATTTCTAGTTGTTAGGTATAGTAGAGTGAAAACTGACCTGAAATAGTTAACAAGTCTTAAAAGCCTATGGAATTTCAGAAAATTTTACACATGAAGCTTTTTATAATTGAACACAATGTGTTCAGTACTTAAACTTCAAAATTTGAATTAGCTTTAATGATTGGGTAATTTGGGCAAGATTTTATGCAAGTTGTAAGCTAGTTTGAAAAATATTGTCAATGTTAAATTAGCAGGGGAATTTAAGGACTTTTTCCTAAAAGGTTTGAACACAATGTGTTATGTGTTTTCTTTATTAAAATCTTGAAAAGTGAAATCTGTGTTACTCTTCTTTCATGGTGTACCACCTGCTATGTTTAAGCACCCATGTATTCCAGAGAATTTGAAAAAATCCCAGTCAAATATTTTTAGATTCATGTGTCCAGAAACATTCAGATTAATAATTTTTGGATATTAACTAAAAAATCAAAATGGATAAACAGCAATAATTTAGCTGTTTAAAAACAAGTACTTCTTTTGTTTAAACAAAAAATGATCTTTCCCCATCCTGAACATGTTCGTTTTATTATTAGTGTACTGAAATTTGTTGCAGCCGGAACCAACCAATAATGGCGTAGCAACTCCACAGCCAACAACAAATACTACTTCATCAGGTAAGTGGAATATGGCATGTGGTCATCTTGTCATCATTCTGTTATCATCTTGTCATATCTTATATCCTCATGTGATCATTTGATTATATTCATCTTATCATCATGTCACCATCATCTAATCATCATGTCAGTGTTATATTATCATCAGGTCATCTCCATTTTTATATCATTAGCACTAGACAACCATCATGTCATTGCCATACTATCATCATGTCAGCTTCATAATGTCATCATGTCAGTATCATATTATCATCATTGCATTGTCATATTATCATTCTGTTAACCACATTTATCATGTCAGTTATTTTCATGTAAACATCATTTTCCTATCAACATTGATAAGGAGAAACATTAAAATGAAGCACTGGATTCATGTCATATATCACTTAATCAGCAAACAGTAAGGCTAGATTAAAGCTTTTGCACCCAGTCTCTTGTTTTAAATCATGGAAATCAAATAAACTGAAAATCAAAATAGAAAATTACAAATCATTAAAAAGGTTTAATTCTAACGCTAAGCTGTATAGCATATTTAAAATTGCATATTCTATATGCTTTTTATGTCCCCACCACGTAGTGTGGGGCCATAATGTCGTCCTAGGCGCGTCCGTCCGTCTGTCTGGTTGGTTGTCTGTCTGTCTGTCCGTCCGTACGTCCGGCAGTTTTCTCCAAAACCGCTACAGGTATCACCTTCTAATTTTCAGGAATAACTTATGAGTGCCTATAGATGTGGATGAAAAAAATTTAACTCGAAACCTACTTCCTGTCGGCCATTTTGAAGTCAAATGCTAAAATCCTTGTCTGCACACTTTAAGAAAAACTGCTTCACAGTTGCTTTTAAAACTTTAAAATCTTGTTCAGCTCACTTCATTCTAGATCTGATTAGGTTTTGGACCTGCTAGCTCAGTCATGTCAGCCATTTTGAATGTCTTAAGAAAAGTTAGCGCGCGATAATACTTTGTATCATATTGAATGGTGTTTTTGGATTTTCTGTCCTAAAATCTTGTCTGTAAAGTCTTGTCTACCCGTTTTCAGGTGAACCGTTTGGTAGATCAGTTTCATATTTTCAGGGATGATTCTTAGTATGAAATTCTACAAACAGATTAGTTTTTTGACATTCTTGGTAAATGTCAAGGCAGCCATTTTGGATTTTCCATCCTGAAGTCTTGTCTGTAAAGTCTTGTTTACATGTTTTCTGGTTAACTGTGTGACGGATCAATTTCAAATTTTCAGGGGTGGTTCTTAGTATGAAAATCTAGAACTGACTAAATTTTTGGCATTCTGGGTAAATTTTAAGGTGGCCACTTTGGATTTTCCGTCCTCAAATTGTGTTGGTAAAGTCTTGTCTACTCATTTTCAGGATAACCATTTCACGGGATCACCACTTGGTGGGGACATTTTGTACACATTTGTGTTCTTGTTTTATGAGAATTTATACATATTCCCATGTGTTATTTTCACAAGGCTTTTTAGAATTCAATAGTTGCAGATACTGGAAATTCACAAAAAAATTCCAGTTGGCGCTTTTTGTCTCTGTGCACACATGCTTTACCCTATGTTGCCTCTAATGTTATCTATATTCCCGCATCTCCCACAGAATCTGTCATGTCACTCTACGATTACGCTGCACAAAATGACGACGAGTTAACATTCCAAAAAGGTGACATCATCACAATCATCAATAAAGATGACCCTGATTGGTGGAAGGGAGATCTTAAAGGCACTCTGGGAGTTTTTCCTTCAAATTATGTGCAGCCGTACTCTGAACGACAGATAGGAACACCGTCACCCGCAACTGTTTCTTGTAAGTATATGTCAATGCCGTTCACTTGGCTCACATCAGGTTTACACAGTGAAGACCGAGAATGTAAAGATGAGTATATGTGCCAATAGTATATTGTCATTATCAAAGATGGGTTAACTTGAAGTTCTTCAACAGAATTTGGAGTGTTCCACTAAGTGCGGTGTAAATCCATATCGAAAATATTATACCTAACTGTATTTTACTGGCCTTTCATCAAGTTTTTAAACTTGATGAAAGGCCAGGTCATTCTTTTGCTTGTGAAACATTTCAACCATTGAACTTTCTGCCTATTGCACAGTTCTTGGCTTAGGGCAAAATATTCACTTTCTGTTTTGTTTCTTCATTGTGATACTTTCTTATAGGGAGTTGGTTTAGGAAATCATTGCCTTGTAAATTATAAAAGCAATTATTTTGAGTGATAGGTCTATTTCGTTATGTGCCTTATTGATTTTTTTTAATATATGTAAGGTATATAAAAATTAAGATTTCTTTTGAAAACAACATATTGAATTTTCGAAGCTTCCCCAAAATGAAATATGTTATTTTGTGGACATTCTTACACATGTGTCTTTCATTCATACCTTGCACCTCCTTCCCCGACAGCATGCACTTTATTTATAAGGCATACAAGTAAGCTGACAGTGTGAGCTTTGCCGTACATGTAAATACTTATTTATAACATATTTACATAAAAAACTAGGTCCTTAATAATGGAAGCTTAATGAATTGATAAAACTTACTTAAAGTAATTGAGTACTTTCTAGATTGCATATTTTTCGAGGTGGTTTGGGGAGAGGTCAGGTCCAGATTTTGCATGTCATGGGTTTGGTCAAGTAGATCAGTAACAGTCTATCAGTTGGGGAGTTGACTACCAATGAACCAGATTGACCCAACTCAAAATTGGTTATCGCTGCAGAACCTGGGCAACATGTTACTTCAACCACCTCTCCATGTTTCATATTTCAAACTTCGGTACCATGGTGATCTTTTATCTAATGTTCTGCCTGTCTGTGCTTTAGGATAGTCAGCAGTCCAGCGAGGACGCCGCCTAGATAGTTGATGTATCGGGATATAGATGGACTTAAAGCTGCAGCCATTTAACTGCATGGGATGCAACTTTGGTGGTTTGGAATTATCATCCTATTACCACGTTCACTGACACTGTTCATCTTAGTGCAATTTGGGCTGGTTGGTTACCGTTTCCATAGCAACCAGTTCAAAGTAACATTTGTTGTTACCATAGCAACTAGTAAATGTGTTAATTGATCAAATAATCAAAAATGTAGGGACCGTAAGAATTGATATTGATCATGATCGAAACCAAGAATGCGAGAGGTTACATGTGCCAAACATAGCAACCAGTATGCACGCAGTAGCAACCAAATTACCATAGCAACCAATTTTCACTTAAATCTGCTTTGTTGTCATGGTGGCCATGTTCTTAACAAGCCAAATAGAGTGAAAAACACTGAATTGCAATGAGCGGGCTTCATGTAGTCACTCTATATGTATGTATATAAAAAAACAGGCATATTTAAATACAGAGTCAATACAGTAAATACAGAGTCAATCAAAGAATACAAACCATGACAAGATGTAATATTTATATAGGTGATTGGTTTAACATGTCATGAAATATTTATACAAATTGATGTTAATGAATTGCAATGTATCTTCAAGGCATGAAATGAAATTTTTAATAAGGTTTGGAATATGAGTGAACATATATAGTTGTGAATTATTTTAATTTTCGTGAGACTTGAGAACAACTGAAAGAATGACTTTTAAGTATGGAAGGATGGAGTGAATGTGAAATGATTTTTATGGGTTACATGAGTGTCTTGTGTTGAATGTTTGCATGTATGTAGTTGGCATGGTGTGTTTGTTACAGTCAGATAGTTTTAGCGCAATTTTTTGTTGGCTAAATTGCTAATACAATACTCATCATTAATACAGTGCAAATCAAAACCAACCTCATTAATGCTTTATTATATCATATATAAAACAATTTTTTTATCAATTAAAGATCACTCCTATATTTCAACATTCAAATGCAATGAGTTGAGAATAGTTTCTTGATGTTAATTTTTCATGTGTAGCTTTGATTTGCACTGTATTATGTAGAATTGGTTCTGAAACTGAGAAACTTTTGTTATGACTAATAATCTAATTTTATTTGAGAAACATATCACTGAATTTCTATACATTTACATATAGCATTGTAAAAATATGAAAATATTCAAAATATGATGTATCCTATCAAACGTGAGATGCATGAGGTGGGTCAAATGAAACGTGGTAATAGGTGATAAATATTCCAAGAGCCTCCCAAGTGAAGCTGCATGCAGTAATCTGGTTGCAGATTGATATACCAGTATATACTGTACATCTCTACATTTCACTCTGTTGTTGTTTCTTAAAGGAGATGATATTTTAGCTTTTCAATGTCTAACATATAAACCCGTATAGTTATTTTACCTAGCTGTAGAATTAATTCTCTAACCCATGAGTAAAGTAAATGTCTATTTCTGTCATCAGATAGAATTAAAATTCAGAAATATCAATTGAACGAAAAGGACATGAGAATAGGAGATACTGGAAAAAATATAGTTGCTACTTAACAGTATTTGTACTCATTTCCATTTTCGACAATTTCATGTTCTATTGGATTTCATATGTAGTGAGGAATGTGGTTTTTATTATGAAAGAGCATTCGGTTCAGTGTTTCAAACAAACATGCTTGCTGGATCGTCATGGAGATGATGTCCCATGTCACATATTATTTGTTACTTGTTTACTTTGACCCACCTACTGTTGTCTTCTTAATACCTGGTTGCTATGATAAACTATTTATTGTGTTGTCAGTGAATAACATAAGGATTTAAAGGATCATTCTCAATTGAAAGCAGAATATCAACAAAATACTTTGTTCATGGATTGAAATTACATTTACTATAAATATGATAGTCAAGACTCAAGAAAAATTAACTGAATAAAACTTGACTCAAGAAAAAATTTAATCAATATAACTTGACTCAAGAAAAAATTGAATGAATAAAACTTGGCTCAAGAAAAGATTGAATGAATATAACTTGACTCTAGAAAAAATTAACTGAATATAAATTGACTCAAGAAAAAATTAACTGAATATAACTTGACTCAAGAAAGAATTGAATGAATATAACTAATGAAATGTGAGTTTTTTATCATTGTAAATTTAATGACAAAAACTGCTTTGAATTGAACTTCACTAAAAGATGCAATATACTGTGATTATGTGCTAGTTCATCACATTATACGCATCTGTGATCACATATTATTTATGCATGCTTGAAATAGTATATAGATATAATGTTATTATTATGTTTTAAAGCTGACATGCTTGAATGATTCACGTATAAGGGTCCCAGAACTGATTTAAACATATACCAGTTTCATTTGGAAATAACAGATGTGTGAACCAGCAAAATAGAAATGTGACAAATCAGCAAGAATGCCTTCTACTTTTGTATATTCTGGTTGCCATACACATTCTGGTAGCAATTAAACTGGTGTATGCATCAATCAGTTCTGGTATCCTGACTGATATACCACATGGCTAATTCCTACATTAAAAATTTACAACAATGTAGGATATATAGTCTATTGTGTATTATCTGAATTTTAAGAGAGGAATAAACTGATAGAGTTGTTCAATATTATCGTTATCAGTGTGGAAAATCAAAATGTTAAAATAGCTACAAAAAATTATTTGTATCACCATGATACACCAATTGTTTGTTGAAGCATGTTGTTGCCATTAGTAACCACTGTATATAATGTCACTCTGGTCACTCATGGTTCTCTCTCCTCCAAGATGGGGTATATCCCAGAATTCATAAATGAATCTGTAGAGTAATAGGTTCATCTATGAATGGGATATTCCATCTTCTCTTATCCTTTCAATATTATAAATCATATGTCATCAAAGAATTTTCTGATTTTCCTTCGTTTTTAAATATCATGGGAAAACTACTTGAAATAGGGTATGGCTTATTTCTTTAACTCTGTGAAGTGGGCCGGGGTGTGTGCTTATTAGAGGGTGGGCACTAAACATGGCAACTATGGTAGTTTGGCACTTTTCAAGCTCAGAAGAAGCATGTTGTATTTATTTTTTAACATCTCGATCATTTCTTTCCAGTTTTTCATGCTTTTGTATTTCTATGTAGTACCAGGGTGACATTTGTAGCCAATGACCGCAATAATGTCCTGTAGTGCTTCCATCTGTAAGTGGAAGTTTTGATATTACGCTAGGATTGAAAAGTAGTACAAATCTACTTATTAATCAGTTAATGTATAGGAATAAATGCATAAAATATACAATACAAATCTTCCGTTTTATACCTCAAGGCAACTTATGTGAAACCCTCTTATGCAGTTGCAATTAAATGTACCGCATTCTATCTAATGAGTGCACAGTGCGCTTCCCAAATTGAAATTTGAAATGGCAAGATATTGAGAGATTCTAAAAAGCGCACATACAAAAAATGTAATAAAATATTGCCAATAATCTTTTTAGCTGATAATAAAGGTTTACATACTCTAACAGCTCCTGTACTTCTTTCTCTTCATTAAATAGAATCATCAATCCATATATTGTTATGTAAGTAATTGAAACTGCATGAGACCATATTCATCAAAAATTTCCATATGCGCTCATTGAATCTGTGCTCATTAAAGAGAATATATGGTACTTCTATCATGATTCTACTAATTCTACAATGAAAAAGATATCCGACACATTAGGCAAGAAGTAAAAAGATAAAAGAATCATAAATGTCATACATCCATTCTAGTTCATGATATAATAAACATTGCTACTTCTATCCTTAAATTATCCATCTCAAGTGAGATATATCGGAATGACTTCATGTCTGAGTTACTCATCTGTATTGGTGTATCCTTTAAAATTCCTTCAAAAATGTTATAACCTTTTAAGTCAGTCTTGGATGTTCAAATATATCCGAATGATAGCAAGGAAGTATTGGTTTTGGTACTAGAATTATTTTTGAATTTTGAGTGGGGGCAGTAGGAGTGAAAAGAAGACTCAACAAATTCCACTTTCAAATATTAATAGAAAGATACATTTTGTTATTGAATTACCAGTTGAATTGAAGTTCAACACACATTCTATGCCTGGAAATTTAAAAAAACAGGAATCAATTATCAGTTATAAAAGTAAGATTTGTCCCAACAATTTGAGAAACTGAACCACCATAAATACAAAGTCTTAGTTACTTCTCAAAGATAAAGAAATATGTCTCAGAAACTGTTCTATTTTATATAAAGGAAAAATATGGTAAGTGTAGACCAGTCTTGTAATTTATTCAATAACAACAGTGTTATTTTGCACCATAGGCCCAGGTTAAGTACTGTAGTAATCCATACATATAATTCGAATCATATGTATGGATTACTACAGTACTTAACCTGGGCCTATGTTTTGCATATGACCCTCGCTCTGTTCTACTTTCGCTAAATGTTCATGAGCAGATAAAAGGATCTATGCTTCTTATACTTAACATATAATACAGAACAGATCAAAATGTCCATTTAATATGAAAATAGAATTTATTGCATAAGGGGGGGGTAGCCTTCACTTTCTCTTAAGTGTAAGTTAATTCCAACAAAATCGAGATTTTCACTATTTCTAGTAATCATGTAACAATTACAACAAAAAGGACCTGAAACCATATAGACATATTTCACCTAGTCTACAGCAAGGCAGGTAAAGTGGTTCACGAATATACCCAATAAAGATGTTAAGATCTTGATATTGCAGGGACTAATGACGCTAGTGTCATCGCCAGCACATCATCCACTGAACGCAAGAGGCAGAGTCACATTCAGGAACTTATGGATACAGAGGAATCCTACATGAAAGATATGTCCATTGTGCTTGATGTAAGATATATTACTTTCTCGATAATTAAACAATGTGTCTTTGTTGCAATACAAGTTACAGTAAAACCTAATCTAAATTTCACTGGAATCAGCCAAAAGTGTTTTGATTGGTG